GTTCTCTCTCGGTGATTACCATTCGCACCTCAAACCCGGTAAGGTTACCTAGCTTGTGGCGATGTACTAGCTATCTTCAAGAAAAAGATGAAAATTCCATAGTTAAACAATCTTTAAAAATATCTGTTGACCTTTATCTTAAAGGTGAAAATAGTTTTTACTCCAATCTCAAGAAGATGGCCGACTACAATGATTTCCCAGGCTTTAATTGTAATTTACAGAATAAATGTAAAATTACGCAATATGTAGATCTTATGCCAAAGAAATATCTTTCTTACTGGAATCATACCCTTCAACATTCACAAAACCTTAACTTTTATTACAAAATCAAAACGAATTATAGCCCTTCTCACTACCTAGATCTAACAAGGAAGAACCCTTCTAGGAAAACATTAGTCACAAACTTAGGATTGAGACAGGTAGATACGACAATATACCACATGACGAAAGGTTATGCAGTCTGCAATTGTAACAGAATTGAAGATGAAACTCACTTTTTATTAGACTGTCCAAGTTTTTCTTCGATAAGAGAGATGTTCTTCTCTAAACTAGAACCTAAAATACCGTTTCCTCGACTACAATCACATGAGACCTTATTATCACATTTGATGAATTCTACTGACTATTTTATTAACATCCAATTAATTTCATTTATTTATTTATTATTTATTTATTATTTTCCCATCCAATTACATTATACAAAGATTTTGTACGAGGAGGCCCCCTCGTTACAATAATATTAAGCAATAGAACTATAACAACACACAACAACGGACAGTACAAGACGCATTATCGATATAGTAGAAAATCAAAAACTTTCGTTTTAAACGATTGCAATGTAAAAATCGAAGTGACTGAGTTTGGTAAAGAATTCCAAATTTTTGGGCCTTGGAACAAAATAGAAAATTGTTTGGTGTTAGTTCGGCAGGCATTTATATCATCTTGCTTTGAATTGTGGGACAAACTTATCTTCGGAATAATTAATCCTTCTGATGGTTAAAAATAAGCAATGATTAATATGTTTCAACTGATTATAATGATTATTTTAAACATTTAATTAGAAAGGAATCAATGATCAATTTCAAGTAGCTTCGCAATACTGTAATACTTTGCTATAATCATGCAAATAAAGCTTATTGTTGTTGTTATTGTTACTAGCTGACCGTCGTATAAGTACAGCGTAAGAGTAAGTGGCATGCGACACTTAGGTTGTAAAGATACAATCCGATTTTCAAACACAAACAGAACGTTCGCAATTTTGTATTACAGCAAATGATTTCGGGGAAGTGCACGACCGCAATGCACACTGGTTGAAGGCGCCCCTTTAAAGCTTGACAAACCCTTTTAATATGACGTCACTTCCGCCATGTTAGCGTCTTAAAACAATAAAACGGCGGCCATGTTGGTGTTAAAAAAGGTTAAAAGGTTAAAGGCTTGTTTATAGTGGAAATTGCACTTAGCTTGTCCAGCTAATTAACAGGCACTCCACTCAAATATTTAGAAACAAATAATTCAAATACAACATAACAGGATTAAAAACCCCAACTGGCAGAAGGCGACCAGTTGGCTATTTACAAGCGTGGCCGAGAATTTGAACTTGGGACGACCGAGCACAAATCCAGCAAGTGGCCAGAGCGGGACTCGAACCCGGGACCGCCGGATTGCGAGTCCGACGCGCTGACCACTCGGCCACGCTGCCTCCTGCAGCGTGTGTCCCAAACCAATCCTGGGGAGTTGAACTTTTTTCTTTTTAAAACGTTTTTTTGTTGCAATAATTTTGCATTTCTACTGGCTAAGTGAGCGAAAACGCTGTATAGCTTCAACGGAAGTCTTAAAATATCACATGACCTTGACAAGGATAAAGAAAACAACAACAACAAAAAAATATATACAAGCTAAAACGGAGGTCTGTCATGGTAGTAGTAATGGTACACTAAGTGTTGGCTTTAAAAATACTATATCCACAAAGCGCACCTCGCTCAAATTAGTTCGCAACTCTAACATTGTATGAATTCAAGTTACTTTCTGTATATATGAGATTGTTCCTTCAAATGAGGCGTATAGTATATGTACGCTGTTTTTATTTCACCAAGAGCGTCTTATTTTGTAACGGAAATAAGTGTAGATGGACTGGAATTACGAACAATTAGAAACTTTATGGGTGATGGGAAAAATTTTGAACAGCACATTAAACATTTCGTAAACATTTCCCTTGTATGAATTGATTTGGGCCAGTACATGAATATTTTTATTTTTAGGGTTAATTGGCCTGCATGAATTTTTGTCATTTAATTTTCCCTTGCACGGATATTTTTTACACTTCCTCTGCATTCCCCCACCCCCCTTAAGTTTTCTGATGGTCTGTTCAGAGCAAGTTATTCACCACCTTCACGTATTGGCATTGTAACGGGTAGGTGTATTTCTTTGTTCATTTAATAATAGACCATATAAATTCGGCTTAGAAGAAATTCGGCTCAGAGGAATCCGAGCCCAGAAGAATCCGAAATTAGGAATTAAGAATACTGGCAGGGCAGAGGCTCATAAAGGAAGAGATAATAGAACAAACGTGGCGATGGCGGGCATTTGGTGGGACAGCCCTTGAATGGAACTAGAGCTTTCCACAAGTTGCTCGGCAACTTTTTGGCAACTTCTCGTATTTCGAGCAACGTTTTGCATTCTGAACAGATTCTCTAGTTATCCAGTTTTAATTCAGAGACATCGGAACAGCTTTTAGAGCTTAAATTGGCCTCTCTTTCATATTTCACGATGTTTTAGTAGACAATGTATGAATTTCCTGTAAAGAAGGAGCCAAATCCTAGTGAAGAGCAACTTTCGTTACAAAAAGCAACTTTTGATTGTTTTTTGTGCAATTTTTGAGCAACTTTTTGAGAAATTACGGGAAACTTTGTGGAAAATCTCGAGCAACTTGTGGAAAGCCCTAAATAGAACCCACCATAGAAAAGAAGAGTAGAGAGTCGCCACATGGGAATCCAAGGAGTAGCAGAGTGGCTCTAGCTTCCAGACCTCTATTTTCATTGACATCTTTTGTTTTGGAGCTAGGGGTATAGACCTTTTTACCGATACGGCAGCCATATTGAATTCATTAGATTTAAGGAGTATTATGGGATGCCCAGGGGGCACTCGCTCAGTATTTACGCCGGCTTTTCGGGCAAAAAGAGAACTTCACTGTATATTTCTCGGGGAAAAGGCGATCATTATTACATCCAAACACGGCACAACGATCTTCATTTCCCATTACATCTTTTTCTAGGAGAACTTAAAGAAAAATTGGACCGAAAAACGCGCGTAAATAATGACCGAGTAAATCGGATCGGCTCATGCCTCCTGCACATCCCATAATACTCTTTACATCTAATTAATTCAATATGGCTGCCGCATCGGTAAAAAGGTCTATTGTTTGCGCTGAATCATCTATTTTTTCGTTCTTCAATCACAGACCATGTCTTCTTAATCCAAGACCTTCTTAGATTCTGGATTCCACGTCATGGATTCCGAGTTCCGGGTGCTGGATCCCGGATGCTTAATTAGGGGAACTTGGATTCCGGATTTCTCTAGTTGTATTTCGGATTCCAAAGTCTAGGATTCTCTGATTCCACCAGATAAAATTCTTTAATTCCGGATTCCCGAAGCAAAAATTCCCGGATTCCGGAATGTGTTATATGAGGTGAAAGAGAGGGAGACCCCGACACATTTAAAGGCGCAAAAAGTTTTTAGAATTTGAGGAGAGAGGACTAACGTGGCGTGAGGCAAAAATCAATGCTTAAAATAGATATCGGATGGCGAGCTTTAGTGAGGGGCCTTTGTTCCATCGGGAATGAAGAGGACTGATGATGATGATCATATAAGCGTGGTAGGCATTGATTTTATATTTTCAAGAATTTAATTTTCAGTAAAAGGATATGAGGCGGTTATATCCGTTGTTTTTGACAAAAATTTAAAACGGACCCCACGACAAAAGGTCTCACCCTAAAGGTGTTAGGACAGTTGTGTACATAAACTGATATCAGCTTTTGTTTCTTTGGTAAAATTAATTTTCGTTAATAAACTCTGCTAGAAAGGAGGCGTGGCATTGGCTGATGTCACGTCATCAAAAGCTTTGTTCATCACGGAAATTGCTAATGGACGTCAAAGTGATCAGTTCTCCCTCAGGTGACTCGGCTCTGGGTGCAAGATAACGTTTTAATAGAAAAATCCAGGGGAACCCGACCATTGTTTTCTGTAAAATATCTGTTCGGAGAAGCAAATATTGTTTAGAATTTTCTATTAATTTAGGAAGGCTTAAATTTTCTAGATGACTGTTCCATTCATGAACAATTTTCGACGCTTATATAATAAATCCCCTCTGACTTTCTAAAGTTTAATTTTTCACGTCTCACTGCTCAGGTTAGGCTATTGTTCGTAGAAAAAAGGAAATCTAAAATTTTCGGATTCAAAAATGTGATGAAGAATTGGTAAAATTCTCACTTTCGTAATACGTTGAATTACATCGAAAATTTTTGTTAAAATATAACTGAAGCCTTTGTAATTTCGAAAAGACTCACGTTCTCCTCGGATGACCGAACAGATATACATTTTGTAGCTCCGCTTAGATTGCATTTCTAGAGATCTAAAAGTACTCAGGACCTAAAAAGTGTTCTCAATGTATTTAGGAGGAAACCGTCGTCACGTGCCCCTGAAAACCTCCTGAATGCATCACATGTCTTTGAAAGACAAATATCCATGACATGTCATTACAGGTGCAATGGAGTTGTAATGGAATACACAATTGGATCATTATCATAACTCGTTGTTAGATGACCCCACCAGATCAGAAAGATTCATCAGTTTACTTTCCCCAAGACTGCAACGCATCAAAAGAAATAACGTTTTCACAAATCTGCACAAAACAATATGGCCTTAGTTTACAACTCCATTGTATCTTAGCGTTTTCGTCGCTTCGGACTAGTTCTTAATTGAGGGATATGCTGTTTATCGCTAATATGCTGACAAACCTGAGAAACGAAACACATTTCCATGAGAACTTAAGATGTGATTTTCCTACCAGTTCAATCGCCGTCCAAGTCAGCAAGATCCTTGCCTATGCCATTATCTTAATTTTTGGCTTGCTAGGAAACGCTTTTATCATCGTAATCGTGTATAAGCGGCAAGAGCTGAGAAACACGATCAATTACTTCATTGTGAACATGGCGTTATCAGACTTTGTGTTTCCATTAACAACCATTCCACTTAGCATAAAAGACATTGCTTCCAATTCTTCGCATTGGCCTTTAGGTGGTACTGCAGGATTAATACTTTGTAAACTGAGATGGTTTTTACAATCCGTCTCTATCACTGTCTCCACTATAAGTCTGGTTTGGATAGCGGTAGATCGTTTTTTGGCAGTGGTTTTTCCAATGAAACTTCACTTGATCTCCTCAAGATTTCGTGCCCGTGCCATTGCCTCAACTTGGCTCGTGGCGATGTTGGCAAATGCGTTTCTCTCTAACGCGTATGAGTTGGTCGACGAAAACGAAGAAACTGTTTGTAGTAATTCCCAAAATATTTCTTTTGCGTATCTAACCTATGCAAAATTATATACTTTACTTTTTCAAATTGCACCACTCCTCGCCACAGCCACTTTATACTCCGGCATAGCGGTAAGCTTAAGACGGCAAGATCAGGCACTTCGTAATTCGCCCCAAGTGCGTGACCTGCAGCGACAGGTACGCAAGAAAAAGCTACGCGCCATAAAGATGGCCTTCTGCATTATGGCTGCATTTTACATTTGCATTTTCCCGATCGTGTTATATTTTATTTTGTGGGAATATACAATTGCAGTGTCATGTTCGTTTTCCAATAAACTCCTGTTTATTGCTTCCGTCATGCTATTTCTGTCCTCAGCAACAAACCCAGTGATTTGCATGACTTTTGTTCAAAGCTATCGACAGGCTCTTAAAGGGATTTTGTGTTCTTGCTCTAGCAAATGGTCTCCCGCGACAACAAGCCGGAAGAAGGTGGAAAATGAAGAGAGAGAGCTTGCCCAGATCAGGCACAATTGATTATTAAAGTACTTTCAGATCTGAACTGGATTGTTTTTTTATTTTATCTCAAGACAGGCCAGGTTTGCTTATATCATTTTTGTCTTTGTAACGGAGAGAATTAGAAGCTATGTTATTGATATCTTGTTGAAATATTGTGAATATATAGTTTTATAGTTTCATTATATTATTTAAAAATGTACTATATTTTTAAAACATATTTTTTTCAGATATTGATGTAATTACTTTGAAAAGCCATTCGTAAAAAGTTATCATTATTATTATTATTATCAATAACTATTTTTCCGGAAAGAAAGGTTGGACCTCCGAAGGTACTGCAAAGGTTTCAGGGGCACCAATATAATGCGAAAGATTTATCATCCATCCAGATTTAATGATAAAAATGCTTTCAGAAAATATAAAAATATATATTTTCTAGATTTCAGCTGTACGCATGGGCGTATATGCTTATATGGACGCTACGCTCCTGCTTCCTAACTATATCTTGTAAACCGTGTGCTGAGTTCGGACTGGACTGGAATGCTCTTCTAATTTTCTATGCTTTTAGAATAGCGTGACATAATATAAGGTTTAAGGTTGTAAGATTTCATTTAATGCACGGCGGTAATTCTGTACAAATATATTATACAAATATATTATACAAATAACTGGATCGGCATGTTCAGTTAGACGAGAAAACCTTGCTCATAATTTAGCTTAATCCTGGGTTAAACTTTACCATCTTTCGAAGAACCGGGCTCAGAGGAAAAACAAAAACAGCTAACGCGATACCAACTTTTTCATAATAGAGATAAACAAAGAAAGACTATCGTCAACTCGTGGGTACGTTGTTTAGAAAATAATCAATTAGTTATCACCTCTGGTTTTCCCACAGTGAATTTGAGGAAATGATAGAAATTCATATTATAAATATACTATCCTTGTTCTGGAAACACAATACTTTTCTTGCTGTTTATTGCACTTTAGTAACAGTTATTTAAGTATATATATAAAAACAAAACAAAAAAAACCCGGCAAAACAAATAAGCAAACAAGACAAAACAAAAAAGAAAAAAAAGGAAGAAGGGAAAAAGAAGGTATTAAGCAGGATTTGAACACGGTATCTTCGGTTTGACCGGACCTCACATGGCCACTACGCCATTGAGGATGATCACATGACGTGGCGAAAAGTCTCAAATTTAATGCCTTTTCCATGGAACTTCCGCCAGCAAACGACCAGGGCAAACGATCGAGCCATAAAAACGACTCGAAGCAATGGGATGAAATTGAGGATAATTGAAACCAGGCTACAGACAAGTAAACGCATTTTATGGCAGTGAAAGAACATATGCGATACAAAGCCGACACAACTCCTCCGCGAAGTAGGACGCAAAACATTAGCTTATGTTTTCTTATCTCGATTTCCGCTGTTATTTTAGAAAGGTAATGCTCAAACTCACATCCATTTCCCCCCGTGATCTTGGGGAGTCCTTAAGAAGAAGAAGAAGAAGTGCCTTTATTTACCATACATTTCATCAGTCCGTATTTTATAGTCCGTATTTTATACCCAGTCCGCAGTCCGTAGTCCGCAGTCCGTGTTTTATACTGACCGCCATAAATTCATTCATACACATAACCTACTACAGTACTACAAGGTAGGAGATCAAGCCAGCGTCGAAGTTGAAGGAGTCGAAGAGCAAATGCTCATCTTCTTGTCAAGTTTAACGCCTGAACGGGTCAAAGGCTTTTGAATCGTACAAATTTGAAAGATTCCTGCCTGTCTTAAATTTGGTAAGACCTCTATCTTAACCGTGCTGCAGCGCACGATGCACGCTCGCAGCGAGGAATTTGATGCTACTTCGGCGAGCGCGTCCTTCTTTGGAAACGATAGATCTTCGCGCTCTCGAGTTCGGACCCGATTAATTACGAAGTGCATCTACTACGAGTGAGCGAGTGACTCATTTGCATATCTCAGTCCCTGCAATAACTCGTGGTACGCTTGCGCGTACCCACGAGTTAAAAAGGACAGGAGATCCTAGAATTAGTGCTATGATCCAGGTGGAAGCGATGGCAAAGGCCCCGGAAATGGAAGGGGAGAAAGGGTACTCCGGATTTGTAAGTGGCGGGGATGATCGAAGGATTTTTCTGGGTTTGAAATTTTCGATTTCCCGGATATTTTTGGGAAGGAAAATCTGGCTGGCACTTTTTGGGTGGAATGATTTAAGAAGAGATTTTTTGGGTATTCAAAACAATCTTATTTCCTTAACTTTTCGTTCTTGATGTTGTATTTTATTTAATTTCCTTTTATCTCACATTGCGTTGTCTCACCAAGCTCAGAATCAAATGGATGTGAAAAACGGAGATTGTTCAGACGATAAAAAATTTGATATGGTCACCACAATTAATGAAACCTTTTGCGTTGACCACCATATTACATAAAACAAATAAAAATTAAGATTTAGACCAAAGGAATTAATATGTAACTTAAGCATTTAATTTGATGCCTTTATACAACTCACAGTTTGAGTTTTAATGAAAAAGTGACCAGTAGTGAAAGATTATTATACATATTAATACTAATTAAATTTTACCAGTTATAGGCAAACTAATTTCCTGTGTAATTTTAATATTTAATTTTTATACTGTTCAATAAACTGAAACTTGCAGTCTGAACTGCGGCTGGTGTTTCAACTATTCATAAATTCAAAACCCTGACAAACACTCCTGCTCGTGATTGACTACTACAGTAGCTCGTGTGAAGCCTGCTCAGTGTATGTACAGTGTATGTACAGTGTATGCTGTACTGTCATACTGGATCATATAGTTCACCCTGTGGAAAAAAAAAAATACAAAAAAACTGTGAACTGAAAAATTAATGGCATACGGAAATCATTACAACGAAAAAGAACGTCTATGATTGAAACCAGTTTGCATAACAAAGAGGAGAAAGACTATTACAGAAACTAAACTAAACTTAATCTATTTTGCCATCGTCATTATTGCAAATAAATGCACTTTCACTTATTAAAAATGACTTCATTTAAATAGGGTCGCTAGCAGGACCTACGGCCGGTTTTATGGGAAAAAGATCATTTGTTTTACAAGTGTCACTTTAATTAAACGCCAGCGGCCGGAGCTATGAGTTCTTACATCTATTCATAGGGATTGTTTCTTCACAATCAACTATTATTTTCAACCCTTTAAAAAGCCTCAGAGTGAATGATAGAATCTTTCTAAGGTGGTTCTAACCCTTAGGTCTTTTGACGAAATCCTATGGTGTGACCATTCTAATGAAACTTCTTTGGCAGTAGTTTCACATGGTACTATTTATTTAGTATGTAGTTCTAAATTTTAAGTCTGTGGACGAAACCCTATGGTTAGCTTGCAAATGAAACCTCTTTGCTGTCAAGTTGTCGTTGTACAATTTGTTTTTCAGCATTCCTGCAAAATGAAATGGAAAGTGAAAGAAACAATAGTTGAGATCTATTTTAAGTTTGGAATACTTTGTGAATTCGGGGCCCTAACATTTGACATGATAATCTTTACAACGATAAGTCAGAAAAATTGTAATAACTGCCATCAAGTACAATACAGTACATTTATACGAACGATACGTTATCAATACTTTATTAATAGACGTAAGAAGTAGCCTTAGCAAGGCTCTCAGGTCATAGGGGCGTCGTCAAGGCAGGTCAAGGGAAAATAGGACGCCCGTAATCTGGCGTTTTCGTATCGGTTTTGGTGACGGGCCGTTTCGCCAACGTCCCGTTCGATGACGTCTTACGTCGCTCCTCTTAAGCGAAACGAGCGCTACGCATGTACATACCTAGTTGGCGATGGCGACGTAAACGACCGCAAACCTCAGTTTTCACGATCTCTGCACATTACTTTTTTGGAGTCTGCAACAGGCTAATCAACAAGGAGCTAAGGAAAAAGCTTTTTAGAAAATTAAAATAAATGTTAAATTAATTACTATTAGAGTTTTGTAGGACCCTTATGCCCTGAAGAGTTATTCCTTTTGGACTATAGTCAATGTTTTGTCTTCTCTTCGAGCATTTCATCAGAAACGAACCACAAAATTCTTTCAGGCCACGCCGGTAGTTTTCGACAAAGACGAAACAGATTATTGGATTTGCCGTGCCTGAAAGGTTGATCATCACGCCAGGTAGTGGCCATAGTACTCTGAGTAACAAACATGATCTTTCCAGTGCCTTTCCTAACAGCAAGGGAATAATAATGACAGGGATAAAACATAAATAAAAAGCTGCCACGACGCAAATGGACATTTTCATGGCTTGCCGTTTTCTCTGAACGTTTCCATTCACAGGTGCAGTGGGAAGCGCTTTATTTTTCCTTCGTAGAGTTACCACTATAGTACAGTATAAAATTGTTATGGAAATCAAAGACGCAAAGGAACAGGCGGCTACAGCATATTGAGAAATTGTAGTTGTTTCCTCTGTGCAGTCAAGTGCACCATTTTTGTGCACGACTTTAGAATCAATAGAAAATGCGGACCCGCACAACACGGCAACGATCCATGAGGAAGCAATGGCCAAAACGCGAAATCTGGAGGAAATCAGATGGACTTTCATTGGAAAGACTACCGCTATAAACCGGTCCAATGCAATCCAAGTTAAGCTTTGTACAGAAACATGGACAGAGGTAGAAATAACAAAACTCTGAATCTTGCAGACGATTGATCCGGCCGGTTCAGCGATCGGCCACTGACCATACACTGCTTTTGCCAACTCAACTGGAATGGATGTTAACTGAAAGACAAAGTCAGAAAATGCCATGTTGGCGATAAGCTGATTTATGGTCTTTCTTAAGTCTTTCCGCTTGTACACCAAGGCGATTACAAGAGCGTTTCCAGTCAAGCCAACCAACAAGACCATACAGTACACAACTATCAAACTTATTTTCAACACACATGGCTCATATAATGCTCCACAATCCAACTACTTTTCGCTTGATGAGACGTTGCTCAAGTTGCTGGTCGACATAATATAAGAAAATAAGAACCACCGATTCAATGCACATCTCTAGCAAAAAGGAGAGCGAACTGGCCCAAGAAGATGCCGCAAACTAAATCGACAGCGGGAGCATTTGAAACATCGAGCCTAATTTCAAGTGAATCCAAGCAATGGACTAAATACTTGACCCAGTGCAAGTTTAATTCGCAACTTAAGACTGAAGCAAGAATGGAACTGAAGCCGAAGTGCAGAAAAGGCAAATGATGTAGACTGACTTCCGCAGAGTTTTGCAGCCACTAACCGCAGCGTTTCTCTAAACTTGATGAAGTTTACATTTACATATTACACCAATTGTTTTTACGTCTATTTTGATAATCATCGGCAATGTCTCGTCGCCTTAGAATAAAGTTAGTTGAAATGCCGCCGGCTGCTCCCCGCCAATAGTTTATGCGCAACCAAAGGGGGGAATTTCATATATCCCATGATGCTTCGCGGCAAATTTCTGTCTTCTCTCCACGGTGGAAAGAGCGTTCGAGGGTTTCGAGTGAGATTTTCAACGACCTGAATTTCAAGATGCAGCTCATTCAAGGTAAGTTTCAATAAGTCCTGTTAATCTTTGGTATCTTATTAATAATGTAAAATGGTTCCATGGTCATTTCACGCATTGTTGCTTTCGTTTACGGCCCGGTTAAGCCATGCTGTTTTAACTCGCAAGTGAATATTTATTTAGGTGACTTTCAGTTATCGAAAACTGTCTTTATTCTAGCAAGGTTTTGCCCTAATAAATTATTTAAATCGGCGGACAAGGGGTGCTTGATACTAGTTCCACGTTCCGACCTCTTTCGACCTCGCGACTTTTATGAGTTTGATCGTTTTGAAATATTGCATTGATTTTCTGCCCGTTCTCCGCTAAGATGCAAGACGAAGGTTTCAGTTTCTTTTTGCTAAGTCCTGCGAAGATGGGACATTTTTTCTTGAACTCGCTCTTTTTTCGCTGATCAAAACGCAAATATTATCTCTTGAGTGTATGATGAATGTTTAAATTCAATGGTTTATAGTTATTAAAGCTTTTTTGTCTCATTATTTTAGGTAAAATTGGTTTCTCATGGTGGCTTCCGGTCGCAGCCGCGCGTGGCGAACTTGAAAAATACAGGCCAGCAAATGTCATGGAATAGCACGCCGTAGGACCTCAACTGGCGTATAAAACCTTTTAAGACATTTTGATAATTCTTTTAGGATCCACTGTAGTGAAGAAGTGGGTGTTTTTGAATATGTATTTTGCATTTCTTAATAAAGCTTTTTTCTGTTTATGTTTGACAACGATACTTAGCTGGTGTTGTGTTACGAAAAATATAGAGATGTCTTTGTTATTTTTATTGTTTGTTGGAGCTATTTCCCTCCTTTGAATTTTATCTCCGATAGACGTCACTTTGCACTTTAACGGTCTCGGTATTTTCGACTACATAAGCCGAGCTTGTTGAAGTAAAAGCATGTGCGGTCACCGTACGGTTGATGCACTGTATCGATGAATTATTGAACTGACAATATGAACACCGCGATCACCAACAAGCAACGAAGAGAAATCTCACACCTAGAATATGTATTTATTTCAAGACAAGTACGTGGAAATCGCTTGTTAATCCATGGAGAGCTTTATCAACGCGCGTTAAAACAGGATGAACTGAAGCAAAGACCTTCCTCGCTGCTATCGCATAATCGGCGGCCAAAACATTCTCTTTGACTTAACAAGAGATATATTTGGAATAGTAAAACGAAAATCGTAAATAGATCGACACAGCAAAGGTACAGAAAGGTTTTATCGGCAAAACAAGTCGCTTTCCACTGCTGTTCAACTGTCACATCCCCGTTGAACTGATAGCATCACGTGCGTTCGGAAGCTTGATAATATAGTATGAAGCGATGCATCATGGGATATATGAAATTCCCCCTTTTGCGCAACCTAACTGCACACGTAGCCAGGTCGCGTCACCGAGATCAAACGTCTGCGGCGTTTTCTTGAGTGCGTCCTTAGTGCGGTTCCATTTGTCAACTGAGGTAGATAGGCGAACAATGCTGGACGCCCAAACAACACGGCCAAAAAGGAAGAGTGAATAAAGACATTTTTGGCCAATTTCTTTCAGTTTGCCACACCGAGATCTAGACCACTTGAATGGCGATTTCACATCGACAACAACAGATAATTGGCAAAACTTTATGCTTCGAACTGGTGCGATATTTTTTCTTTGTACTATAAATCTAAAAACATTCATGAATAATTCAAAACCAAATATATTACGATAGAGATTGATGTTGAATAAGTGGATATACATATTTAATATAAACACGCCAGAGTTTTAGTTCTGTCAGCAAAAATAATTGATCATCACGCCTTTATATAAATTTTCAAATTATTATTATAAAAAATAACTTTATCTAGAAGAACGTTAAGCTGATCTCTTACATCAATTCTCTTTCTGAGCTTCGTACGCAGAGTTAGTTCGCCTGTCCTGATTTACTGTCATATTTGCTCTATAATTCGTTTTACATACAATAACAGACAAAACCATATAAAAGAACAAATAAATCCTACACCAAACTCACGACATGCGGAGGAAAAAAAAACGGAAAAGAACCGTTTATTTGCCCAAGGTTAGTGCTGAAGGCAATCTAATGAAAAACTTCAATACTGTAGATATTAAAGACATTTAAAAAAGACAGGTCAAAAATGTTACATTCTGTCTCTTGTGACCCGAGATGTTGGTGGATTTTGAATCGAAATTGGAAGGTCCCGATGAATTCGTTGCAGAAAGCATGCCCTTGCCTGCTAATTTTGCAGTAAAAAAGAACGTTTTTGGGTAGTTCACAAGAAAAAATACGTAGAATAGAAACCTTTATCAAGTGACACACCAGCCCTGACTCCACACTTTCTCCGTGTTATGTCAAGAGTTAACGCCACGATAAAAGCCTGTCATTTTCCCAGACTGTTGTGTAACAGATAATAGGGAGTTTAAGATACGGAGACTACGGACTACGAACTACGGCTGGACGAGCGTTGTCCTTTGTTCGTAGCACTGGGTTGAGTCGTGCAAATATAGAACGTTAAGATTGCACTACAGACAGTAGACTACGACAGAAGAGGCGGAGAGGGAAACAACACGCAAAGATTTTCTTGTTTTCATCACAGTTCCCAAAAATGCAAGTCAGTTTTGCATGTGATCTTATCTTTAGAACAATGAACGAATTCTTCCATACTTGAAGGAAGCAATTACGTCGGGTGAAATTGTAAACAAAGTTTTGGTTACACAGGTTTTAGTTTTTCGCCCATGAATACTTATGTCAAATATTAAAGATATAGACAGAAATAGTAATAGCTCATTTATTAGATTTAGAAGGTGGACTTCTCCGACTACTGATCTGATGTAGTTTGAAGTACTGAAATGCCGAGTTTCGATTGTCTCGAGCATGTTTACATCAATTTCATTCAGCAAATGGCGCGATACAAAAACTCGCATAAATAAAGGTTACACAAGTACAAAGACTCACTAATCAGTTCGAACAAACATTGAAACTTTTCGAGTGCGAAGAGAAAGTAAATTACCTGCATGATTTCTGTTCTCCTAGGCCGTCAATCTGAATTCTGCGTATAAACAGCTAAGCTTAAATGTAGTCACAACAGTGGATTAAAAGCGTAAATCTGAGCAGGTATTAGACACAACTTACAAATTTCGCTTAGCAGGTGAATTGAAAACTTTTTTACGAAAAGACGAGATTCTTGAATTACCGAGACGGCAAAATACGAGCAAAATGTTCTCCGTAGTACCGAGTACGCGAAACAGCTCAACAACTCACAGGACTACGCGGGAAAAATGAACAGTCACGTGGTTTTGATCATGCGCGGTAGCATATTTATCCGTAGCTGTAGTCCGTAGTCGCCGTATCTGGGATTACATGCTAACACTATCACAACAGGTGAACAAAGTAGAGTTTTTCAAAGTGGACACAAGATTGACTTACAAAGGATCAGGAAGGACAATGCCTCATTATTAAGTCAAGATCTGAATTTGATTAAACATTATAGGGAAAACACAGAAGAATTAAAATAAAGCTATCGTTTGCATCTGCCAACAATAAGAACAGAAGTAAGGACAGAAGTAGCCAGGATAACTTTTTATCATGAGAGCACAGTTTTTAATAATTTTTGTTATAGTACATATCGGAGAGTTTGTTTATTATTTATTTATGAAACTTTAGTATTTCATTTTCTATGCCTTTCAACATTAAAATATTTAAAATTTAGTATTAGACAAAGGTGTTTAATATTAAATTTTTATATTTAATTTTCTATGTCTTTCAATACCTCAAGGCTTGTGCCTTATGACTGAGCTTGTAAGGTACACAAAGTTATCTAATAAGGTACACAACACATTTGAAAGGAACTTATAAAATAAATCAAAAGAGAATTTCATGTTTAACTTTAATATTTAATTTTTATGCTGTGAAATGCGGTTCGTGTTTCAAAAATTCATCAATTCAAAAACCTGACAAACTCTTCTGCTAGTGAATGATTACTAAAAGGAGCTTGTGTGTAGCCTGCTGTATGCTGTACTGTCATACTATGAATTGAAAAATTAATGGCATACGGAAATCACTACAACGAAGAAAACGTCGATGATTGAGCTTAGTTTGCATGACAAAGGCAAGAATGACTATTACAGAAACTAAACGAAATTTTATCTAATTTGTCATCGCCATTATTGCAAACGAATGCACTTTCACTTATTAAAAATGATTTCATTTGAATAGGGTCGCTGGCAGCCCAACGTTTTATGAGAAAAACATCGCTGTTCACACAGGGGCACCCAGCGACTTTTTTCTGTAAAATAACTGTTCGAAGGAACAAATACTGTCTAGAAATTTCTAAAGCTTGAGAATAGGTACACATTTCTGGATAACCGTTCCATTCGTCTAAAATATTGAGAGGTTTTCTAATAGCTTAACTACGATTTTCGGAGGTTGTATTATTCGCATTTTAATACCAAGATATTGCGAAAAGGTCTCCTAAAACGTTCGGTATAACGACAAAATGTCCCCTATAATTTTGTAATGAAAGCAAGGCTGCTTCATCTCCTCAGACTTTCGACCAGACCAATAAGGATGGCTAACACTTTCGGATGAGACGAAAAAGCCAACTAAAACTTTCGTGAAGACCAAAGTTCCCCTAAGACATCCGAACAGATAAATAGTTTTTAGGGCAGCTCCAAATTAACCAAACAGGCTTCTATAAAGCATAGTGAACACCATCTGAGACAGTTCTGGCGTATTTGCAAACATTCGGCCGTTTGGTGCCCCTGTTTGCAATTGTCTCTTTAATTAAACACCAGCGGCAAGATTTATGAGTTCTTACGGTGAGTCGCATCATATCAGTTGTTCCTTTACAATGAATCGCCCGTTGTTTAACCCTTTCAACCTCAGAGTAAATGGTGATATGAGTCTTTGTAAGGTGGCTCTAAATTCTGAGTCTGTGGACGCAATCCAATCGTTAGCTTTCCAACGAAACCTCTTCGTGGCCAATTTTATGTCATGGTAACCTTTGTTTTTCAGCCTCTTTGATATTTTAGGCGGATTTCAACGTCTTCCACTCCTGGGAGTGAAATAAACAATTGTTGAGATCTATGGTGTCGAATAACTTAAAAGTTAGGGATGCTTCGTAAATTCGGGGCCAACAAGGCTAAGTCAGTAAAAGGCAATAACTGCCATCGAGTACTATTATACTACAGAACATTCATATGAACAACACTTTATTAATAGACGTATCGAGTAGCCCAAGCCAGGCTCTTAGATCGTAGGGACGTTTCGAAGACAAGGTCAAGGAAAAGTAGGACGCCCGTGATCTAATGTTTTCATATCAGTTTTGGTCACCGGTCGTTTCGCCTAGGAATCGTTTCGCTATCGTCCCGTTCGCTAACGTCTTATGTCGATCGTTGGCGAACAGGGCGTTAGCGACGTAAACGACCGTACAGTTTTCACAATCTCTGCACATTACTTTCTAGGCGCCTGCAACGGGCTATTTAGAAAAAAAAAATGTTAAATTAATTAGAGTATAAGGGTCCTACAAAACTCTAATAGTGAAGAGTTATTCCTTTTGGACCATTGTCAATGTTTTGTCTTCTCTTCGAGCATTTCATAGGAAACGAACCACAAAATTCTCTCAGGCCACGCCGGTAGTTTTCGACAAAGATGAAACAGATGATTGGATTTGCCATGCTTGAAAGGTTGATCATCAGGCCAGGTAGAGGCCTTAGTATTCTGAGTAACAAACATGATCTTTCCAGTGCCTTTCCTGACAGAAAGACAATAATGACAGGGATAAAACATAAATAAAAGGCTGCCACGACGCAAATGGACATTTTCATGGCTTGCCGCTTTCTCTGAACGTTTCCATTCACAGGTGCAGTGGGAAGCGCTTCATTTGTCCTTCGTAGAGTTACCGCTATAGTACAGTATAAAACTGTTATGGAAATCAACGAACCAAAGGAACCGGCGGCTACAGCATATTGAGAAATTGTAGTTGTTTTCACTGTGCACTCAAGTGCACCATTTTTGTGCACGACTTTAGAATCAATAGAAAATACGGAGCCGCACGAAACGGCAACGATCCATGAGGAAGCAATGGCCAAAATGCGAAATCTGGAGGAAATCAGATGGACTTTCATTGGAAAGACTACCGCTATAAACCGGTCTAACGCAATCCAAGTTAGGCTTTGTACAGAAACATAGACAGAGGTAGAAATAACAAAACTCTGGATCTTGCAGACAATTGATCCGGCCGGTTCAGCGATCGGCCATTGACCATACGCTGCTTTCGCCAACTCAACTGGAATGAATGTTAACTGAAAGACAAAGTCAGAGAATGCCACGTTGGCGATAAGCTGATTGATAGTCTTTCTTAAGTCTTTCCGCTTGTGCACCAAGGTGATTATAAGGGCGTTTCCAGTCAAGCCAACCAACAAGACCATACAGTAGACAACTATCAAACTTAATTTAAACACATACGGCTCATAAAATCCTCCGCAATCCAAATCCTTTTCGCTTGATGAGACGGTGCTCATGTTGCTGCTTGACATAATACAAGAAAAAAAGAACCACCGATTTAATGCACGTCTCTAGCAGAAAGGAGAGTGAACTGACCCAAGAAGATGCCGCAAACTAAATCGACAGCGGAAGCATTTGAAACATGGAGACTGATTTCAAGTGAATCCAAGCAATGGACTAAATACTTGACCCAGTGCAAGTTTCATTCGCCACTTAAGACTGAAGCGAGAAGGGAACTGGAGCCGAAGTGCAGAAAAGGCAAATGATGTTGACTGACTTCCGCAGAGAGTTTTGCAGCCACTAACCGCAGCGTTTTTCTAAACTTGATGAAATTTACATTTACATTTTACACCAACTGTGTTTACTTCTATTTGATAATCATCGGCACTGTCACGTCCCCTAACAATTGTAGTGAATTGCAATGCAACTGGCTTCTCCCTGCCAATAGTTTATGCGCATCCGTTTATGCGATAAAAGCCTGTCGTTTTCGGAGACTATTGTGTAATAGAAAATTAAACGCGGAACTACGCGCTAACACTATCACTAAGATGAACAAAGTACAGTTAGTCAAAGTCGTCACAAGATTAACTTACAAAGGATCAGGAAGGACAATGCCTCATTATTAAGTCAAGATCTGAATTTGATTAAACATTATAGGGAAAACACAGAAGAATTAAAACAAAGCTGTCGTTTGCATCTGCCAACAGTAAGTAGCCAGGAGAATTTTTTATCATGAAAGTATAGTTTTTAATAATTTTTGTTATAGTACATAACGAGGAGTTTGTTTATTATTTATTTATTAAACTATATTATTTCATTTTCTACGTCTTTGAACATTAGACAAAGGTGTTTAATATTAAATTTTTATATTCAATTTTCTATGCCTTTCAATAACTCACAGCTTGTGCCTTATGACTGATTTTGTAAGGTACACAAAGGTACCTATTGAGGTACACAACATATTTGAAAAGAACTTATAAAATAAATAAAAAGAGAATTTCACGTTTAACTTTAATATTTAGTTTTTATACCGTTCAATAAACTTGCGGTCTGAAATGCGGTTCGTGTTTCAAACATTCATCAATTCAAAAGCCTGACAAACACTCCGGTTCGTGATTGAAGACTAAAGTAGCTCGTGTGTAGCCTGCTTTATGCTGCTCCGACATACTGGATCATATAGTTCACCCCGTGGAAAAAACAAACCATGAATTGAAAAATTAATGGTATACGGAAATCAATACAACGAAGAAAACGTCTATGATTCAGCCCATTTTGCATGATAAAAGCAAGAAAGACTATTACTGACTAATTTGTCATCGCCATTATTGCAAACGAATGCACTTTCACTTATTAAAAATGATTTCATTTGAATAGGGTCGCTGGCAGCCCAACGTTTTTATGAGAAAAAGATCGCTGTTTACACAAGGGCATCCAGCGACTTTTTTCTGTAAAATAACTGTTCGAGGGAGCAATATTGTCTAGAAATCTCTAAAGTTTGAGAAAAGCTACACTGAAATTTCTGGATAACCGTTCCATTCGTCTAAAATGTTGGGAGGTTTTCTAATAGCTTAACTACGATTTTCGGCGGTTGTGTTATTCGCATTTTAATGCCAAGATATTGCGAAAAGGTCTCCTAAAACGTTCGGTATAACGACAAAATGTCCCCTATAATTTTCTTCTGAAAGCAAGGCTATTTCATGTGCTCGGACTTTCGACCGGACCCATAAGGGTAGCTAACACTTTCGGATGAGACGAAAAAGCCACATAACACTTTCGTGACGACCAAAGTACCCCTAGGACATCCGAACAGATAAATAGCTTTTAGGGCAGCTCCAAATTAACCGAACAGGCTTCTAAGACCCTTCTGGCGTTTTTGGAAACATGCGACCGTTGGGTGCCTCTGTTTACAATTGTCTCTTCAATTAAACACCAGCGGCAAGATTTATGAGTTCTTACGATAAGGCGCATCATATCAGTTGTTCCTTTACAATCGCCTGTTGTTTTCAACTCTTTTAACCTCAGAGTGAATGGTGATAAGAGTCTTTGTGAGTTGGCTCTAAATTCTGAGTCTGTGGACGCAATCCAATCGTTAGCTTTCCAACGAAACCTCTTCGTCGTCAATTTTATGTCATGGTAACCTTTGTTTTTCAGCCTCTTTGATATTTTAGGCGGATTTTAACGTCTCCCACTCCTGGGAGTGAAACAAACAATAGTTGAGATCTATGGTGCCAAATAACTTAAAAGTTAGGAATGCTTCGTAAATTCGGGGCCAACAAGGCTAAGTCCGAAAAAATGTAATAACTGCCATCGAATACTATACAGTACTTTAATATGAACAACACTTTACTAATAGACCTATCAAGTAGCCCAAAGCAGGCTCTTAGATCGTAGCGACACAAAGTCAAGGGAAAGTAGGACGCTTGTGATCTAACGTTTTTACATCATTTTTTCATCGGTCATTTCGTCTACGAATCGTTTCGCTACCATAATAATAATAATGAACTTTATTAAAGTCTCACGTCTTATAGCTCAGGCACAGTGCCTTACTAATTGGGGAGAACGTTCGCTAACGTCTTACGTCGCTCTGCTTAAGAACCGAAACGAGCGCCGCACATGTATATACCTCGTTCTCTCAGCCACGATAAGAAGAAGTGCGACACGCATGTATTTACCTCGTTCATTCAGCCATGGATCAGACGAAAGCAGTTTGAGAACTGACCCAAAACATACGCGAAACGACTTTTAAGTCGTTAGCGAACAGGGCGTTAGCAACGTAAACGAACGTGCAGTTATCACAACCTCTGCAAATTACTTTTCTTGGAGCCTGCAACGGGCTAACCAACCAGGAGCTAATTAAGCAAAAAGTCGTTTCTTTAGAAAAAAAAATTAAATGTTGAATTAATTACTATTAGAATTTTGTATGACCCTTATACTCTGAAGAGGTATTCCTTTTGGACCATTGTCAATGTGATGTCTTCTCTTCGAGCATTTAATAAGAAACGAACCGCAAAATTCTCTCAGGCCACGCCGGTAGTTTTCGACAAAGACGAAACAGATTATTGGATTCGCCGTGCTTGAAAGGTTGGTCATCAGGAGAGGTAATGGCCATAGTACTCTGAGTAACAAACATGATCTTTCCAGTACCCTTTCTGACAACAAGACAATAATAATGACAGGGATAAAACATAAATAAAAGGCTGCCACGACGCAAATGGACATTTTCACGGCTTGCCGTTTTCTCTGAACGTTTCCATTCACAGCTGAAGTGGGAAGCGCTTTATTTTTCCTTCGTAGAGTTACCGCTATAATACAGTATAAAATTGTTATGAAAATCAACGAAGCAAGGACACCGGCGGCTCCAGCATATTGAAAATTTGTTTCCGCTGTGCAGTCAAGTGCACCATTTTTGTGCACGACTTTGGAATCAATAGAGGAAGCAGAGCCGCACAAAAGGGCAACGATCCACGTGGAAGCAATGGCCAAAACGCGAAATCTGGAGGAAATCAGATGAACTTTCATTGGAAAGACTACCGCTATAAACCGGTCCAATGCAATCCAAGTTAGGCTTTGTACAGAAACATAGAGAGAGGCATAAATAACAAAACTCTGAATCCTGCAGACAATTGATCCGGCCGGTTCAGCAATCGGCCATTGACCATACGCTGCTTTTGCCAACTCAACTGGAATGAATGTTAACTGAAAGACAAAGTCAGAAAATGCCATGTTGGCGATAAGCTGATTTACAGTCTTTCTTAAATCTTTCCGCTTGTAAACCAGGGTGATGATAAGGGCGTTTCCAGTCAAGCCAACCAACAAGACCATACAGTAGACAACTATCAAACTTATTTTGAACACATATGGCTCATATAATGCTCCACAATCCAGATCCTTGTCGCTTGATGAGACGTTGCTCAAGTTGCTGGTCGACATAATATAAGAAAATAAGAAACACCGATTTAATGTACGTCTCAAGCAGAAAGGAGAGTGAACTGACCCAAGAATATGCCGCAAACTAAATCGACAGCGGAAGAAATTAAAACATCGAGACTGATGATTTTAAATTAATCCAAGCGAGCAACCAAATACTTGAATTAATTGTCGCGACGATAATGGATTTTCTTCACTTTTGGTTCTTGATATCGAACGGAAATCGATGTTTATTAATCTCGAATTGTGGTGTCTCACTAGTGTCAAAGTCAAAAGGATTTAGAAAACAAATAATTATTCCACCTGTTTTAACAAAAGTTTCAATAGAGATCTTTTCACGATTTTTCAGATAATCGAACTATTAAATATGGGAACCATAAATAGTAAAAACTATATTTGCGTTAGACACCATGTTAAAAATATATATAATTTAGAAATAGACCAGGCAATGGAATTAAATATAAAACTTTAGTATTTCATTTTCTTTGCCTTTCAACATTAAAATATTTATAGTTTAGATTTAGACAAAGGAGTTTAATATTAAATTTTTAAATCTACTTTTCTATGCCTTTCAATCGACTCACATTTTGTACCTTATGAAAACTTGATGTTGACCACTAATGAAGTGTAAACGTGTTTGAAAAGAACTCTTTATATAGTAATAACAAATAATTTCATGTTTGATTTTAATATTTAATTTTTATAGTGTTCAGTAACCTTGCAGTCTGAAATTTAGGCTCGATTGGGATCAAAGACCGGACCCGGGAGACGGCAGAAATCGAGCCTGTCTGAAAAGCGGTTCATGTTTCAAACATTCATAAATTCAAAGACCTGAAAAATACTCCTGCTTGTGATTAAAAATTAAGAGTACATCATGTGTAGCCTGTTGTATGCTGTACTGTCACACTGGATCGTATACTTCACCCCGTGGGAAAAAAAAAACAAAAACAAACTGTAAATTGAAAAATTAATGGCACGGAAATCATTAAAACCATAGCCTATTACATTTTTGCAAACGAGTGCACTTTCACTTATTAACATTTCAATAGGGTTGCTGGGCAGGCAGGGCGTAACGTTTTACGGGAAAAAGATCGTTGTATACAATTGTGAGCATCTGACTTTTAAAATTAAACACCAGAGGCCGGATTTAAGAGCTGCAACGATAAGACGCATCTTATGTATTGTTCCGTTACAATCGCCTGTTGTTTTCAACCCTTTTAGTCTCAGACTGATTGATGGAATCTTTGTAAGGTGGCTCTAACTTTGAGTCTTTTATGATAAGCCAGTTTGCCCAAGGTTAGTGCTTAAGGCAAACTAATTAAAAAAAACCACATACTGTGGATATTAAAGACACTTAAGTCAGAAGTCTTGCAAAGAAAACTGTGATTCCCACAAAAGAAATTGAAAACAATGTGCTCGCAAAATGTTGGAGGAAAAACACCGTGGCTGTTATGGAAAATGCAAAAATGGCGAATGGTGTTCAGTTTTAAAATAAATGAGTGTGTTTCTAGACTTACTTCTCTCTATGTGGTTCCGTTTACGTACAAACTGTATTTTACATAGGTTATATTTACTATACATAGGTTCCAGATAGATGAACACTGAGGCTAAACTTATGTTGATTAAACTAAGGCTAAACGTCATTATTGTTCATTATTTTTGTATTTGTTTTTATTACTAAAGTTTCTCTCCTATCTAATGCAGGAATAATTCAAAACCGTTCTAGTCTTATCTCCTTTTGGTTGCTCTTTCTTCTCTCTCCCACTTTCAGATTTTTGCTGTAATAGCATGGGATGATCTCGGTTAGGCCTCGACGAAAGCTTTGAACAAATGCAATGCAAATGATCGGATTGACAGTTGAAGACGCGTAAAGCGCCAACTGAACAAGTAACCAGATGTTTTGGAGCACAGAACAAGATTTGAAAACTTTAGGATCAGGTAATAAGTTGGCAGCTATTGTCAAAGGAAGAATGAGAAAGTAAAAAGACAGCATCCCTCAAAAGCTCATTTTTATAGCTTGGCGTTTTCTTTGATTGCTTTGATGTCCGCACTGAAGAGCTCTGTCATGTTTTCGCAAAGTTATTGCTATACCACAATAAGAAATCGCTAGGATAATCAGAGGTACGGTGAAAAGAAAAGTAGTTCGTCCTCTTGCAAAGTTTACATAAAAAGTGGAAGTATTTTTATAGGCGCAAACAGGCATATAAAATTCAACAGAGTTTAGAAACACCGCGATGAACCAGGTGAAAGTTATGGCAGCGGTGCGAACTCTTTCTGTAATGAGATGGGCTTTCAACGGAAACACAACCGCCACAAACCGATCTATAGAAATGCAGACAAGGCTCTCTATAGAAACGGTTAACGAAACACCCTGAAAAAAAGAATCGAGGTGGCAAGAGATCAGCTCTGTAGTGCTTGCTATAACCAATCGTGACGATCGGACTAACGAAGTGGATGATAAAGTCGCTGTTATACCCGTTAGTGGATAGAATAGGTCGGAAACCGCCATATTGACAATGAAAAAATTTGTAGTCTTCCGCAATTCTTTGCGCTTATAAACCATGAGGATAATGAAGGTGTTTCCAATCAAGCCGGACAATGATAAAATGGAGACGATCAGAATTTTGACGACTTCTACTGGAAAAGATAGCTCAAAAACGTTACATTCGGTCTCTTGTGACGAGATTTAGGAAGGTCCCGATGAATTCGTTGCAGAAAGCATGCCCTTGCCTGCTAATTTTGCAGTAAAAAAGTACGTTTTTGGTTAGTTTACACAAAAATACGTAGCCCTGACTCCACGCCGCGATAAAAGCCTGTCATTTTCCGAGACTATTGTGTAATAGATAATTAAACGCGGGACAACATGCTAACACTATCACTACAGGTGAACAAAGTAGAGTTTTTTAAAGTGGACACAAGATTGACTTACAAGGGATCTGGAAGGACAATGCCTCATTACTAAGTCAAGATCTGAATTTGATTAAAGATCATAGGGAAAACACGGACGAATTAAAATAAAGCCATCCTTTGCATGCACCAACAATAAGAACAGAAGAAAGGACAGAAGGTAGCCAGGAGAGTTTTTTATTATCATGAAAGTACAGTTTTTAATAATTTTTGTTATAGTACATAACGGAGAGTTTGTACATTATTTATTTATTAAACTTTGGTATTTCATTTTCTACGTCTTTGAACATTAATTTAGAATTAGACAAAGGTGTTTAATGTTAAATTCTTATATTCAATTTTCTATGCCTTTCAATAACTCACAGCTTGTGCCTTATGACTGATTTTATAAGGTACACAACTTTGGCCAGCTGCTGATAATGATCCCACAAAGGTACCTAATAAGGTAAACAACATATTTGAAAAGAACGTATAAAATAAATAAAAAAGAGAATTTCATGTTTAACTTTAAAAGTTATTAAAAGTTAGGAATGCTTCGTAAATTCGGGGCCAACAAGGCTAAGTCAGAAAAAATGTAATAACTGCCATCGAGTACTATATACAGTGCATTAATATGAACATCACTTTATTAATAGACGTATCAAGTAGCCCAAACCGGGCTCTTAGATCATAGGGACGTCGCGAAGAAAGTACGACGCCCGTGATCTAACGTTTTCATATCATTTTTTCATCGGTCGTTTCGCCTACGAATCGTTTTGCTACCGTCCCGTTCGCTAACGTCTTATGTCGCTCGTTAGCGAACAGGGCGCTCGCGACGTAAACGACCGTACAGTTATCACAACCTCTGCACACTACTTTCTTGGAGCCTCCAACGGGCTAACCAACCAGGAGCTACTAGAGGAAAAAGCCTAGAAAAAAAACATAAAATGTTAAATTAATTACTATTAGAGTTTTGTATGACCATTATACTCTGACGAGTTATTCCTTTTGGACCATAGTCAATGTTTTGTCTTCTCTTCGAGCATTTAATCTAATAATAATAATAATAATAATAATAATAATAATAATAGTAATAATACTAATAATGAACTTTATTAAAGTCTCACGTCTTATAGCTCGGGCACAGTGCCTTACTAATTGGGGAGACTGTTCGCTAACGTCTTACGTCGCTCTGCTTGCGCCGCACATGTATATACCTCGTTCTCTCAGCCACGATAAGAAGAAGTGCGATACGCATGTATTTACCTCGTCCATTCAGCCATGGATCAGACGAAAGCAGTTTGAGAACTGACCCAACACATACGCGAAACGACTTTTAAGTCGTTAGCGAACAGGGCGTTGGCAACGTAAACGACTGTAAGGTTATCACAATCTCTCCACATTACTTTTCTTGGAGCCTGCAACGGGCTAACCAACCAGGAGTTAAGCAAAAAGTCTTTTCTTTAGAAAAAAAAAATTAAAAGTTGAATTAATTACTATTAGAGTCTTGTAGGACCCTTACACTCTGAAGAGTTATTCCTTTTGCACCAGAGTCAATGTGATGTGTTCTCTTCGAGCATTTAATAAGAAACGAACCAAAAAATTCTCTCAGGCCACACCGGTAGTTTTCGACAAAGATGAAACAGATGATTGGATTTGCCGTGCTTGAAAGGTTGATCATCAGGCCAGGTAGTGGCCATAGTACTCTGAGTAACAAACATGATCTTTCCAGTGCCTTTCCTGACAGGAAGACAATAATAATGACAGGGATAAAGCAAAATAAAAGGCTGCCACGACGCTAATAGACATTTTCATAGCTTGCCGCTTTCTCTGAACGTTTCCATTCACAGGTGCAGTGGGAAGCGCTTTATTTTTCCTTCGTAGAGTTACCCCTATAGTAGAGTATAAAATTGTTATGGAAATCAACGAAGCAAAGGCGCTGGCGGCTACAGCATATTGAGAAATTGTAGTTGTTTTCTCTGTACAGTCAAGTGCACCATTTTTTTGCATGACTTTAGAATCAATAGAAAATACGGAGCCGCACAAAACGGCAACGATCCATGAGGAAGCAATGGCCAAAACGCGAAATCTGGAGGAAATTAGATGGACTTTCATTGGAAAGACTACCGCTATAAACCGGTCTAATGCAATCCAAGTGAGGCTTTGTACAGAAACATAGACAGAGGTAGAAATAACAAAACTCTGAATCTTGCAGACGATTGATCCGGCCGGTTCTGCGATCGGCCATTGACCATACGCTGCTTTTGCCATCTCAACTGGAATGGATGTTAACTGAAAGACAAAGTCAGAAAATGCCATGTTGGCGATAAGTTGATTTATAGTCTTTCTTAAGTCTTTCCGCTTGTACACCAAGGTGATTATAAGGGCGTTTCCAGTCAAGCCAACCAACAAGACCATACAGTACACAACTATCAAACTTATTTTGAACACATATGGCTCATATAATGCTCCACAATCCAAATCCTTTTCGCTTGATGAGACGTTGCTCAAGTTGCTGGTCGACATAATATAAGAAAATAAGAACCACCGATTTAATGCACGTCTCTAGGAGAAAGGAGAGTGAACTGACCCAAGAAGTTGCAGCAAACTAAATCGACAGCGGGGGCATTTGAAACATCGAGACTGATTTCAAGTGAATCCAATCAATCGAATGAATACTTGACCTAGTTGAACTTGGATTGAAGCGAGAAGGGAACTGGAGCCGAAGTACGGAATAGCCAAATGATGTAGACTGACTTTCGCAGAGTATTGCAGCCACTAACCGCAGCGTTTCTCTAAACTTGATGAAGTTTACATTTACATATTACACCATTTGTTATTACTTCTATTTGATAATCATCGGCACTGTCTCGTCGCCTAACAATTGAGTGCGTTGCAATGCAGCTGGCTCCTCCCCGCCAATAGTTTATGAGCATGCGTTTATGCGATAAAAGCCTGTCATTTTCGGAGACTATTGTGTAATAGATAATTAAACGCGGAACTACATACTTACACTATCACTAAGGTGAGCAAAGTACACAAGATTGACTTAAAAAAGGATCTGGAAGGACAATGCCTCTTTATTAAGTCAAGATCTGAATTAGATTAAACATCATAGGGAAAACACGGAAGAAATAAAACAAAGCTATCACTTGCATCTGCCAACAGTAAGAACAGAAGTAGGGACAGAGGTAGCCAGGAGAATTTTTTATTATCATGAAAGTACAGTTTTTAATAATTTTTGTTATAGTACATAACGGAGAGTTTGTTTATTATTTATTTATTAAACTTTAGTATTTCATTTTCTACGTCTTTCGACATTAATTTAGAATTAGACAAAGGTGTTTAATATTAAATTTTTATATTTAATTTTCTATGCCTTTCAATAACTCAAAGCTTGTGCGTTATGAAAACTTGTAAGGTACACAACGGTACCAAATACGGTACACAACTTAAGGTAACTTAAGGTACACATATTTGAAAAGAACTTATAAAATAAATAAAAAAGGAATTTCATGTTCAGTTTTAATATTAGTTTTTATGCTGTTCAATAAACTTGCAGTCTGAAATGCGGTTCGTGTTTCAAACATTCATCAATTCAAAAACCTGACAAACACTCCTGCTCGTGATTGATGACTAAAGTAGCTCGTGTGTAGCCTGCTGTATGCTGTACTGTCATACTGGATCATATAGTTCACCCCGTGGAAAAAACAAACTGTGAACTAAAAAATTAACGGCATACGGAAATCACTACAACGAAGAAAACGTCTATGATTCAGCCCAGTTTGCATGACAAAGGCAAGAAAGACTATTACTGACTAATTTGTCATCGCCATTATTGCAAACGAATGTACTTTCACTTATTAAAAATGATTTCACTTGAATAGGGTCGCTGGCAGGCCAACGTTTTATGAGAAAAAGATCGCTGTTTACACAGGGGCACCCAGGGACTTTTTTCTGTAAAATAACTGTTGGAAGGAGCAATATTGTCTAGAAATTTCTAAAGCTTGAGAAGAGGTACAAATTTCTGGATAACCGTTCAATTCGTCTAAAATATTGAGAGGTTTTCTAATAGCTTAACTCCGATTTTCGGAGGTGGTATTTTTCGCATTTTAATACCAAGATATTGCGATTATTGTTAAAAATGGTCTCCTTAAACGTTCGGTATAACGACAAAATGTCCCCTATAAGTTTCTACTGAAAGCAAGGCTATTTCATGTGCTCAGACTTTCGACCGGATCCACAAGGGTAGCTAACACTTTCGGATGAGACGAAAAAGCCACATAACACTTTCGTGACGACCAAAGTTCCCCTAGGACATCCGATCAGATAAATAGCTTTCAGGGCAGCTCCAAATTAACCGAACAGGCTTCTAAGACCCTTCTGGCGTATTTGGAAACATGCGGCCGTTGGGTGCCTCTGTTTACAATTGTCTCTTCAATTAAACACCAGCGGCAAGATTTATGAGTTCTTACGATAAGGCGCATCATATCAGTTGTTCCTTTACAATCGCCTGTTGTTTTCAACCCTTTTAACCTCAGAGTGAATGGTGATATGAGTCTTTGTAAGGTGGCTCTAGATTCTGAGTCTGTGGACGCAATCCAATTGCTAGCTTTCCAACGAAACCTCTTCGTCGTCAATTTTATGTCATGGTACACTTTGTTTTTAAGCCTCTTTGGTATTTTGGGCGGATTTTAACGTCTCACACTCCTGGGAGTGAAACAAACAATAGTTGAGATCTATGGTGCCGAATAACTTAAAAAATAGGAATGTTTCGTAAATTCGGGGCCAACAAGGCTAAGTCCGAGAAAATGTAATAACTGCCATCGAGTACTATACAGTACATTAATATGAACAACGCTTTACTAATAGACCTATCAAGTAGCCCAAACCAGGCTCTTAGATCGTAGCGACACAAAGTCAAGGGAAAGTAGGACGCCCGTGATCTAACGTTTTTACATCATTTTTTCATCGGTCGTTTCGTCTACGAATCGTTTCGCTACCGTAATAATAATAATGAACTTTATTAAAGTCTCATGTCTTATAGCTCAGGCACAGTGCCTTACTAATTGGGGAGAACGTTCGCTAACGTCTTACGTCGCTCTGCTTAAGAACCGAAACGAGCGCCGCACATGTATATACCTCGTTCTCTCAGCCACGATAAGAAGAAGTGCGACACGCATGTATTTACCTCGTTCATTCAGCCATGGATCAGACGAAGGCAGTTTGAGAACTGACCCAACACACACGCGAAACGACATTTAGGTCGTTAGCGAACATGGCGTTGGCAACGTAAACGACCGTACAGTTATCACAATCTCTGCAAATTACTTTTCTTGGAGCCTGCAACTGGCTAACCAACCAGGAGCTGATTAAGCAAAAAGTCTTTTCTTTAGAAAAAAAAATTAAATGTTGAATTAATTACTATTAGAGTTTTGTATGACCCTTATACTTTGAAGAGTTATTCCTTTTGGACCATTGTCAATGTGATGTCTTCTCTTCGAGCATTTAATAAGAAACGAACCGCAAAATTCTCTCAGGCCACGCCGGTAGTTTTCGACAAAGACGAAACAGATTATTGGATTCGCCGTGCTTGAAAGGTTAGTCATCAGGAGAGGTAATGGCCTTAGTACTCGGAGTAACAGACATGATCTTTCCAGTACTCTTTCTGACAAGAAGACAATAATAATGACAGGGATAAAACATAAATAAAAGGCTACCACGACGCAAATGGACATTTTCACGGCTTGCCGTTTTCTCTGAACGTTTCCATTCACAGGTGCAGTGGGAAGCGCTTTATTTTTCCTTCGTAGAGTTACCGCTATAGTACAGTATAAAATTGTTACCGATATCAACGAAGCTAACGAACAGGCGGCTGCAGCATATTGAGAAACGGTAGTTGTTTTCTCTGTGCAGTCAAGTGCACCATTTTTGTGAACGAGTTTAAAATCAATAGAAGAAACAGAGCCGCACAAAAGGGCAACGACCCACGTGGAAGCAATGGCCAAAACGCGAAATCTGGAGGAAATCAGATGGACTTTCATTGGAAAGACTACCGCTATAAACCGGTCTAATGCGATCCAAGTTAGGCTTTGTACAGAAACATAGACAGAGGCATACATAACAAAACTCTGGATCTTGCAAACAATTGATCCGGCTGGTTCAGTTATCGGCCACTGACCATAGGCTGCTTTTGCCAACTCAACTGGAATGAATGTTAACTGAAAGACAAAGTCAGATAATGCCATGTTGGCGATAAGCTGATTTATAGTCTTTCTTAAGTCTTTCCGCTTGTACACCAAGGTGATTATAAGGGCGTTTCCAGTCAAGCCAACCAACAAGACCATACAGTACACAACTATCAAACTTATTTGGAACACATATGGTTCATATAATGGTCCACAATCCAGATCCTTTTCGCTTGATGAGAAGCTGCTCAAGTTGCTGGTCGACATAATATAAGAAAAAAAGAAACACCTATTGAACGCACGTCTTAAGCAGAAAGGAGAGTGAACTGACCCAAGAACGGCTACCGCAAACTAAATTGACAGCGGAAGGAATTAAAACATCGAGACTGATGATTTCAAATGAATCTGAACAACCGACTAAATACTTGAATTACTTGTCGGACGGTAATGGATTTTTTTAACTTTTCGTTTTTGATTTCGAACGTTAATCGATTTTTATTAATCTCGAATTGTGTTGTCTTACTAGGCTCAGAGTCAAAGGGATCTGAAAAACAAATAACTATTCCACCTGTTTTAGCAGAAGTTTCAATAGAGATCTTTTCAAGATCGAACTATTAAATATGGGAACCGTGAATAATAAAAACTATATTTGCGTTAGACACCCTGTTAAAAATATATGTAATTTAGAAATAGACCAGGCAATGGAATTAAATATAAAACTTTAGTATTTCATTTTGTTTGCCTTTCAACATTAAAATATTCATAATTTAGAATTAGACAAAGCAGTTTAATATTAATTTTTACATCTAATGTTCTGTGCTTTCCAATCGACTCACATTTTGTGCCTTATAAAAACTTGATGTTTACCAGCAATAAGGTGTAAACATATTTGAAAAGAACTCTTTAAATAATAATAAAAAGAATTTCATGTTTAATTTTAATATTTCATTTTTATAGTGTTCAATAAAATTGCAGTCTGAAATGCAGGCTCCATTAGGATGAAAGACCGGACCCGGTTGACGACGGAAATCGAGCCTGTCTGAAATGCGGTTCGTGTTTCAAACATTTATAAATTCAAAGACCTGACAAATACTCCTGCTTGTGATTAAAAATTAAGTTCATCATGTGTAGCCTGTTGTATGCTGTACTGTCACACTGGATCGTATACTTCACCCCGTGGAAAAAAAAAACAAACAAACTGTAAATTGAAAAATTAATGGCACGGAAAGCATTAAAACCAGTACGCAAAACAAAGGCGAGAAAGTCTAGCTAGCCTATAACAGAAACTAAACTAAATTCTATCTATTCTGTCATCGTCATTTTTGCAAACGAGTGCACTTTTACTTATTAACAATGATTTCATTTCAATAGGGTCGCTGGGCAGGCAGGGCGTAACGTTTTACGGGAAAAAGATCGTTGTATACAAGTGTGAGCATCTGACTTTAATTAAACACTAGAGGCCGGATTTAAGAGTGGCAACGATAAGACGCATCTTATTTGTTCCTTTACAATCGCCTGTTGTTTTTAACCCTTTTAGTCTCAGAGTGATTGATGGAATCTTTGTAAGGTGCCTCTAACTTTGAGCCTGTGGACGAAATGCTATAGTTAGCTATCCAATGAAACCTGTTTGCCGTTAATTTTATGTCTAGGTACAATTTGTTTTTCAGCATCTTTGATATTTTACTCGGATGTTGAGTTTTCGCACTCCTGAGAAGGAAAGAAACAATAGTTGAGATCTATGGTGCCGAATTGACGAAGCATTCCTAACTCTTAAATTCCGGGCCATAGCATCTAAATAATCTTAAAAAGGTTTAGTCAGATAACTGCCATCAAGTACAATACAGTACATTTATAGGAAAAATACTTTATTAATACTTTATCAATAGACGTATCAAGCAGCCTAAGCTAGGCTCTCAGATCGTAGTGACGTCGCTAAGGCAAGGTCAAGGGAAACTAGGGCGCCCGTGATTTGGCTTTTTTCATGTCAGTTTTGCTGACCGGTCGTTTCGACAAAGTCTTATGTCGCTCCACTTAAGAGGCGGAAGGAGCGCTGGGCATGTACATAGCTCGTTCTCTTAAGCATGATAAGAAAAAGTGCGATACGCATGTATATGCTTCGTTCTTTCGGCTCCTGATCTGGCAAAAGCAGTTAGGAAACTCATCTAATACAAAAGCGAAACGACACTTAAGTCATTAGTGACAGGTTTCACGATCTCTGCACATTACTTTCTTGGAGTCTTTATTGGCAACAAGCTAATCAATACTGAGCAGCTTCGGAAAAGGTTTTTATTTAGAAAATAAAATAAATGTTAAATTAATTACTATTAGAGTTTTGTAGGACCTTTATACTCTAAAGAGCTATTCCTTTTGTACCATTGTCAATGGTTTGCCTTCTCTTCGAGCATTTCATCAGAAACGAACCAAAAAATTCTCTCAGGCCACGGCGGTAGTTTTCGTCAAAGATGAAACAGATTATTGGATTTGTCGTACTTGAAAGGTTGATCATCAGGCCAGGTAGTGGCCATAGTACTCTGAGTAACAAACATGATCTTTCCCGTGCCTTTTCTGATAGCAAGACGATAATAATGACAGGGATAAAACATAAATAAAAGGCTGCCACGACGCAAATGGACATCTTCATGGCTTGCCGCTTTCTCTGAACGTTTCCATTTACAGGTGCAGTGGGAAGCGCTTTATTTTTCCTTCGTAGAGTTACCGCTATAGTGCAGTACAAAATTGTTACGGAAATCAACGAAGCAAAGGATCTGGCGGCTAAAGCATATAGAGAAATTGTAGCTGTTTTCTCTGTGCACTCAAGTGCACCATTTTTGTGAACGACTTTAGAATCAATAGAAAATGCACAATCGCACAAAAGGGCAACGATCCATGAGGAAGCAATGGCCAAAACGCGAAATCTGGAGGAAATCAGATGGACTTTCATTGGAAAGACTACCGCTATAAACCGGTCTAATGCAATCCAAGTTAGGCTTTGTACAGAAACATAGACAGAGGTAGAAATAACAAAACTCTGGATCTTGCAGACGATTGATCCGGCCGGTTCAGCGATCGGCCATTGACCATACGCTGCTTTTGCCAACTCAACTGGAATAAATGTTAAGTGAAAGGCAAAGTCAGAAAATGCCATGTTGGCGATAAGCTGATTTATGGTCTTTCTTAGGTCTTTCCGCTTCTACACCAAGGTTATTACAAGGGCGTTTCCAGTCAAGCCAACCAACAAGACCATACAGTAGACAACTATCAAACTTATTTTGAACATAAAGTCAAAGAATTAACTAAAATGCTTAAAATGATGCTACTTGTTCCAATAGGTTTTTTCCTTCTGGCTGGTAGATTATGCTCTGGAGGGTTCTAAGTTTTGATTTAACAAATTTGATTTTTGCCGCTTGTTTCACACTAAGAGATCATGACTCGCATATTGATTTTCTGTGGGTTTTGTTTCTGGTCGGCAGGATTGGCCCTCTGATCCAAACTTAACGCTCTTTGTTGCGGCTAAATAAGGGTTTTAGGTTGTTTAATTTTCTCCAAAGTGTCTCCTGGAACTGAATAACTAAAAGCGATTTTCTTTTGTCCGCGAATGTGATGGTTTCCCGCAACGTTTTGACACGCTGGGCCCACAACGTCGAATGTCAAATGAACTTGATGTGTTTTGTTTGCGTCGTCTGCCACTGAAGAAACAAGTTTTACATACAATGTTCTGAGCGTCGAGTACTTCTTCGATTAGCCATTAGCTTTCGATTGGTTTTCAAATTTTTCATGACTTATTGTTAGAGCTGTTCTGGTACGAAGTTTTGACACATGGGGCGAAGTTTACTTTCTAGCCCTTTTTTTGTTAGCACCTCTGCTGCTTTCCTGTTTTGATTTCTACTGTGATTTGATTGCATGCGTTTTCGTTCCAATTGCGCGTCGAAGTGGTGTCACTGGAATTGACGTTTGGCTGCTTTGATTGTTTTGTGCGACGATTATTCCCACTCCTCTGTTTGCCTTTTGTTGTTGTTTATTTCTTCCTGCCGAAGTTCCGAAATTGAAATTTCCTGATTAGGATCGCTGTCCGCGGACTTCAGTTCCTCCAAGAGCCATAATGGGACAGAGACGGAAACGCCTAGTCTAGCCCTTGGGATATGTGAATTTCACCAAAGTTATTTTTAGACCAATCAAACGCTTGAATCAATCGGAAATTGGTTTCCCGAGAGGTCCGCAAACTTTCATTCAGTGCTGTGAAGAAATAATGGCGTCCTGCGTGGAGGTGCTTTTAATCGACCAAAGTGATTTTGTAAACAAAAGCAAATGGTTTTCTCTTGAAAGGTTCTCCCGATTGGGAGCTAGATTCCACGATTTCGGTGGAAATGACTGATTTGCTAGATGATATATTAGTTTATTAGAAGGAATCAGGAGCCATATGGCTCTTGGTTTTACATACAATAACAAAGCAAACCATATAAAAGCACAAATAAATCATAAACCAAAATCACGACATCCGGAGAAAAAAAAAACGGAAAAGGACCTTTTATGATAAGCCAGTTTGCCCAAGGTTAGTGCTTAAGGCAATCTAATAGGAAAAATTCCATACTGTGGATATTAAAGACATTTAAGTCAGAAGTCTTGCAGAGACGACTGGGATTCCCATAAAAGAAATTGAAAACAATGCGCTCGCAAAATGTTGGAGGAAAAACACCGTGGCTATTATGGAAATGCAAAAATGGCGAATGGTGTTCAGTTTTAAAATAAATGAGTGTGTTTCTAGACTTACTTCTCTCTATGTGGTTCCGTTTACGTACAAATTGTATTTTACACAGGTTATATTTACTGCACATATGGTTCCAGATAGATGAACACTAAGGCTAAACTTCTGTTGATTAAACTAAGGCTAAACGTCATTATTGTTCATTATTTCTGCAAATTTTTTTTTTATTACTATTCAAGTTTCTCTCTTATCTAATGCAGGAATAATTCAAAACCGTTCAACTCTTGTCTCCTTTTGGTTGCTCTTTCGTCTCTCTTCCACTTTCAGATTTGTGCTGTAATAGCATGGGAGGATCTCGGTTAGGCCCGACGAAAGCTTTGAACAAATGCAATGCAAATGATAGGATTGACAATTGAAGACGTGTAAAGCACCAACTGAACAAGTAACCAGATGTTTTGGAGCACAGAACAAGATTTGAAAACTTTAGGATCAGGTAATAAGTTGGCCACTATTGTCAAAGGAAGAATGAGAAAGTAAAAAGACAGCATCACACAAAGGCTTATTTTTATAAATGGTGTTTTCTTTCATTGCTTTGATGTCCGCACTGAAGAGTTCTGTCTTGTTCTCGCAAAGTTATTGCTATAGTAGAATAAGAAATCACTATGATAATCAGAAGTACGGCGAAAAGAAAAGTAGTGCGTCTTCTTCCAAAGTTTACGTAAAAGGTGAAAGTATTTTATAGGGGCAAAAAGGCATAATTTTATGTCATGGTACACTTTGTTTTTCAGCCTCTTTGATATTTTAGCCGGATTTTAACGTCTCCCACTCCTAGTAGCCTGAGTATCAGGCATTTCTGGGGGAAAAGGGGAACTCAGGCTAACTCGTAGGAGTGAAAGAAACAATAGTTGAGATCCATGGTGACGAATAACTTAAAGTTAGGAATGCTTCGTAAATTCGGGGCCAACAAGGCTAAGTGAGAAAAAAAGTGATAACTGCTATCGAGTTCAATACAGTACATTAATATGAACAACACTTTATTAATAGACGTATCAAGTAGCCCAAACCAGGCTCTTTGATCGTAGGGACCTCGCGAACACAAGGTCAAGGGAAAGTAGGACGCCCGTGATCTAACGTTTTCATATCATTTTTTTATCGGTCGTTTCGTCTACGAATCGTTCCGCTACCGTCCCGTTCGCTGACGTCTTATGTAGCTCCGTGTAAGAACCGAAACGAGCGCTGCGCATGTATTTACCTTGTTCATTCATCAACTGATCAGACGAAAAGCAGTTTGAGAACCGACCCAAAACGTGCGCGAAACGACTTTTAAGTCGTTAGTGAGCAGGGCGTTAGCGACGTAGACGACCGTGCAGTTATCACAATCTCTGCACATTACTTTCTTGGAGCCTGCAACAGGCTAACTAACAAGGAACTACTCCAGGGAAAAGCCTTTTATTTAGAAAAAAAAAATTAAATGTAAATTAATTACTGAGAGTTTTGTAGGACCCTTATACTTTGAAGAGTTATTCCTTTTGGACCATAGTCAATGTTATGTCTTCTCTTCGAGCATTTAATAAGAAACGAACCACAAAATTCTCTCAGGCCACGCCGGTAGTTTTCGACAAAGACGAAGCAGATTATTGGATTTGCGGTGCTTGAAAGGTTGATCATCAGGTCAGGTAATCGCCTTAGTACTCGGAATAACAAACATGATCTTTCCAGTACTCTTTCTGACAACAAGACAATAATAATGACAGGGATAAAACATAAATAAAAGGCTGCCACGACGCAAAGGGACATTTTCATGGCTTGCCGTTTTCTTTGAATGTTTCCATTCACAGCTGAAGTGGGGAGTGCTTTATTTTTCCTTCGTAGAGTTACCGCTATAGTACAGTATAAAATTGTTATGGAAATCAACGAAGCAAAGGAACAGGCGGCTCCGACATATCGAGAAATTGCAGTTGTTTTCTCTGTGCAGTCAAGTGGACCATTTTTGTGCACGACGTTCGAATAAACTGAAGATGCGGCGCCGCACAAAAGGGCAACGATCCACGAGGAAGCAATGGCCAAAACGCGAAATCTGGAGGAAATCAGATGGACTTTCATTGGAAAGACTACCGCTATAAACCGGTCTAATGCAATCCAGGTTAGGCTTTGTACAGAAAGATAGATAGAGGCATAAATAACAAAACGCTGGATCTTGCAGACAATTGATCCGGCCGGTTCAGCAATCGGCCATTGACCATACGATGCTTTCGCCAACTCAACTGGAATGAATGTTAACTGAAAGACAAAGTCAGAAAATGCCATGTTGGCGATAAGATGATTTATAGTCTTTCTTAAGTCTTTCCGCTTGTACACCAATGTGATTATAAGGGCGTTTCCAGTCAAGCCAACCAACAAGACCATACAGTAGACAACTATCAAACTTATTTTAAACACATATGGCTCATATAATGCTCCACAATCCAAATCCTTTTCCCTCGATGAGACGTTGCTCAAGTTGCTGGTCGACATAATATAAGTAGAAAAAAAACACCGATTTAATGTACGTCTCAAGCAGAAAGGAGAGTGAACTGACCCAAGAAGATGCCGCAAACTAAATTGACAGCGGAAGACTGATGATTTCAAATGAATCCAAGCAACCGACTAAATACTTGAATTACTTGTCGTGACGGTAATGGATTTTCTTATCTTTTCGTTCTTGATTTCGAACGTTAATCGATTTTTATTAATCTCGAATTGTGTTGTCTCACCAGGGTGAGAGTCAAAAGTTTCAATAGACATCTGCAGGATTCCTGACATCGTTCAAGATTTTTCAGATAATCGAACTATTAAATATGGGAACCATAAATAGTGTTTTCATGTAAAATATGATCTTAAGTGACCCACTTAAAAGGGGCGAACTTTGTTTGTTGAGAAACCACTTAAGAGGAGATTCGCCGGAAGTAGCAATAAGAAACCACTTTGTTGGAATAAATTTGGCCACAATTGTGGCTAGTTTTAATCGAAAAATTAGCAAAATTCAAACACAGCAGTAAACATTTCCGTATATGATATCTTGTTCACAAATGGGGCGACAAAATACCGCCAACCTTAAAAAGTGATAGTATCGAAGCGACAGGATGGATTAAACGTGATAAATCGCTGGGAGGTGGTGAAATGGGGAGGAGGCTGGAAAAAGTTTTTCTGGGGATCTGTTCAATCTGATGCCAAGGAGAAGAGGAAGGAAGAATATCTCGCTGGTACTGTCTTTCATATACTAGGCATGTGACTTACTACCTGATTGGCCAAACTAATGCTAGTATCGAATTCGTGCCTGGTACGAGCCAACCCCAGCGGAATATCACGTGCGTACCACTCCTCGATATAAATTACACTAGAAGTTCTCATTGAGAAGGGAAGTGCTGCCGTTAGTTGCGAAGCGAATAGGACAAAGACAGTTTGTAGAACAGTTGAACATATGAATTCTTTTTTATTAAAGTCAATAACTTAGACTTGCTGGCATTATGAAACACTCAGAGCGTAATATCAAAAATGAACCGATCACGATGACAATTATGCTTACATTCATATAACTCGCTAAGGTTTCAATACCATTTTGTTATTCATTTTATATAATCCACGAAATTCTAAAACAACAGCAGTGCTGATAGGCTGTTTCTTCATCGAACAATCATCGTACACAGGATCGATGAGATGAGTTGCGAACAAATGACGTAAAGGCCAAAACTTGTTTATTCACAGGTCAGGTAGATGTACAGCACATGCCGTTCACTTATGTAACTTACAAGATAATACCAAGATAACAATCTGTGTGACAAAATAATACTCGCTATAACTAATCTTGAAACCTGAATAAAAAAAATAAACCGAAAAATGTTCCGTACAATACGTCTTGAACTGTTCTTACCGTTTAGGCCGTTTAAAAAGACAGCAAGCATCCGATAAACTACGATTTCTGCAAAGATCTTACATGAGAGCAAAACAAAATGGCAGGTTGCTCCTAAGAGAAAAACAGGCGCGGCAGCTAAGCAAACCGCTGACTGCACAGCGCTGCAGTCACAGATGACCATCGAACCATGGAACCAGGGAACCATCGAACCAAAAAATCTCAAATGGATCAAGAATATGGTCGGCTGCCGGCTGATGCCCGGCAGCACTTATGTCGCGCCATAATGTTCGCTTATATATCGAGACGTGTTTTCATGTAAAATATGTTCTAAAGTGCACTTAAAAGGGGCGAGCTTTGTTGAGATACCACTTAAGAGCTAATTCCCCGGAAGTAGCAATAAGAATCCACTTTGTTGGAATAAATTTGGCCGCGATTGTGACTAGTTTTATCGAACAATTACCAAAATTCAAACACAGCAGTAAACATTTCCGTATATGATGACTTGTTCACAAATGGGGCGAGAAAATACCGCCACAAGCCACACTTTGTGGCTGAAGCCCCATTCAACGAAAAACAAAATAAAGCTCGCTCCTCAGTGGATACCGAACATTAAAGGCCATTATGGAAAGAAGGAGAAAGCTAAGCACCGGCGAGATGGAGCCCATGGTCTGACCATCTCCATTGTGACTATTAAAATACATGTACCTGTAGCTTAGTATTTTAGGGAGAACAACATCCACCGTCGTCTATGATGCAGCCCTTGACTGACCAACTCAAAAATCAAACTTGAACTGGCTGATTGCCTAAGAAATATCTACACGGTAATGAACTAATATGTTATACGTAGAAGCAAATGACGACGCGCGCCGAGTCGCGGCCCATTGTCCAACCGACTCAACAGGCATGCCACACACCCGTGAGATGCTTTAAAAACTTAAATTAACTATGACGAAACACAAAATGATGACAGCACAATAGCAGCCCGTGTCTGAACTACAGTGCCGCAACACCAAACGTTAATTAGCTTGGAGGACCTCCGACCTTAAGTAGACTTTAAAGGCGTCAGCGGCCAAGAGCACGGATTTGCTCATCTGAGTAACCCCGATCAGCAGCATGACAAGGGCCGCCAATACGAAAACTGTGACTTTTGTAGCGACTGGTGTCTAACCCACAATACGCTAAACAACGCTGTAGTTCACACATTAAATTGGTGAGTTAAAATTGGACTTTGATCAGCATGACAAAAAAGAGGGCCAGGAGAAGATCCCCGGGGGGGGCACTTTAGGAATTTCTGGGTGGGGATGTGCCGCTGGGACCCTGGAACCCTTGACCTATACCAGAGCTAGTTCAGCTGAATTTTGCTACCCTATACTAGAGTAAACTCCCCAAATCCCCCTATCCTAGAGTAGCTGTTTCCCCAGTCTAGATAAAATCTTCAACCAACTGATGAGTTTCCTGAAAAATGATACCCTATTCTAGACCCAAACGCTCTGATTTATATACCCTATCCTAGAGTAAACTGCTTGAAAACCATACCCTTCACAGCGGCACATACCCATATAGCCTATATATGGCAGTACCCCCCCCGGGAGAAGATCCCCGCAATTCGCAATATTGAATAAGGGTAGAACGGGGCAAAAGGCAGAAGATACCGCACGGGCAATTAAAATATCAAACGGGCGACGGCTTGTGTTATGATTATACTCAGAAATTGTAGTTTTCGCCACCTGCGTACGACCGTTGCGTGATAAAAAGGTCAGGTTTAATACTGAACTGAACGACAGAAGACGCAAATCTTTGCTCTTGGCGGTAAGTTCACCTGTGCGAAATAAGCCGTAGAAGGCCACGAGAAAAAGTGCCGAAAAGAGAGAACGCTGAAATGCCGAAGAATTAGTGAAACTAAGTGCAAGAGCCAGCTCATGTAAAACAGGTCTTGTCACCGGAAAACGTATGTCAACTGGCTGTCGACGGCTGAGAGCCGTTAATAGCTTGTGAATTAAAAACGATTTTGTGGGGTCGTGGAGCCCTCTCAACTTGTGTACGTAGCAAATGACTGAAAGATATGAAGAAAATCGTTGAAAGAGCCAATTTACGAAATGTGAGATAAGAGATGAATAAGGGGAGGCATTTAGGAGGTACCGGTAAAGGAGGATCATCAGAACCGTAAAATTGGCGGAAAAAAAATATATATTACGTAGAATAGAAAGCTTTGTTCAAGTGACACACCAGCGCTGACTCCACACTTTCTCCGTATTATGTCAAGAGTTAACGCCGCGATAAAAGCCTGTCATTTTCCGAGACTATTGTGTAATTGATAATTAAACACGGGACTAGATGCTAACACTATCACTACAGGTGAACAAAGTATACGGGAGTATAGAGTTTTTCAAAGTGGACACAAGATTGACTTACAAAGGATCTTGAAGGACAATGCCACTTCATTAAGTCAAGATCTGAAGTCAATTAACATCATAGGGAAAACACGGAGGAATTAAAATAAAGCTCTTGTTTGCATGCGCCAACCGTAAGAACAGAGGAAAGGACAGAAGTTGCCAGGAGAATTTTTTAATATCATGAAAGTACAGTTTTTCATAATTTTTGTTATAGTACAAATTAAAACGGAGAGATTGTTATTTATTAAACTTAAGTATTTCATTTTCTCTGCCCTTCAACATTAAAATATTTAGAATTTAGAATTAGACAGCGGTGTTTAATATTAAATTTTTATATTAAATTTTCTATGCCTTTCAATAACTCAAAGCTTGTGCCTTATGAAAACTTGTAAGGTACACCAAGTTACCTAAAAAGGTAAATCTTTAATCTTTAATCACAGTTCGTAACCATACATAACTGATACAAATGAACTAATACTAACATATACAATCGAACAAAAATACAAAAATGGTTAACAGGACGGTAGTAGGGGGAAACCAAATTCCCATGCTAAGACATACCTTCCAAAAAAGAAAAAAGAAAAAAAATAATTAATTAATATATAAACATATATTAAAAGACTATAAATTAGACTATAAATTATAAACCTAGATGCCTAATAATAATGATGCATAAACTTATATTAAAGACACTATGCCTAATATTTTAAGGTAAATTATGAGCGAAGGTACTTAATCAGTGAAACTTTAAAAGACTGAAGGCTAGGAGATGACATTACTTCAGAAGGCAAAGAGTTCCAATCATTAATATATCTATGAAAAAATGAATATTTAAAATAATTTGTACGGGCAACTTTAGGCCTTATTTTATACTCATGCTTACTTCTAGTTCGAGTTATTCCAATAATATCAAAGTAATGATGGCAATTGATATCACAGTAACCAAATATAATAATAAACAACTGACTATTATAGAAACTAAACTAAATTTTATCTATTTTGTCATCGTCATTATTGCAAACGAGTGCACTTTTACTTATTAACAATGATTTCATTTGAATAGGATCGTTGGCAGCCCAACGTTTTTATGAGAAAAAGATCGCTGTTTACACAGGGGCACCCAGGGACTTTTTTCTGTAAAATAACTGTTCGAAGGAACAAATATTGTCTAGAAAGTTCTAACGCTTGAGAAAAGCTACAAATTTCTGGATAACCGTTCCATTCGTCTAAAATATTGGGAAGTTTTCTAATAGCTTAACTACGATTAATACCAAGATATTGTTAAAAAAGGTCTCCTAAAACATTCGGTATAACGACAAAATGTCCCCTATAATTTTCTAATGAAAGCAAGGCTGCTTCATGTCCTCGGACTTTCGACATAAGGGTAGCTAACACTTTCGGATGAGACGATAAAGGCACCTAAAACTTTCGTGACGACCAAATTAAAATTCCCCTAAGACAGCCGAACATATAAATAGTTTTTAGGGCAGCTCCAAATTAACCAAACAGGCTTCTAACGCATAGTGAAAACCATCTGAGACACCTCTGGCATATTTGCAAATATTCGGCCGTTGGGTGTGCCTCTGTTTACAATTGTCTCTTTAATTAAAATAAAACACCAGCGGCAAGATTTATGAGTTCTTATGATAAGGCGCATCATATCAGTTGTTCCTTTACAATCGCCTGTTGTTTTTAACCCTTTTAACCTCAGAGTGAATGATGGACTCTTTGTAAGCTGGCTCTAAGTTGTTAGTCTGTGGACGAAATCCTATGTTAGCTATCCAACGAAACCTCTTCGTCGTCAATTTTATGTCATGGTACACTTTGTTTTTAAGCCTCTTTGGTATTTTGGGCGGATTTTAACGTCTTCAACTCCTGGGAGTGAAACAAACAATAATTGAGATCTATGGTGCCGAATAACTTGAAAGTTAGGAATGTTTCGTAAATTCGGGGCCAACAGCGTTAAGTCAGAAAAAAAGTAAAAACTGCCATCGAGTACTATACAGTACTTTAATATGAACAACACTTCATTAACAGACGTATCAAGTAGCCCAAGCCAGGCTCTTAGATCGTAGGGACGTCGCGAAGACAAGGTCAAGGGAAAGTAGGACGCCCGTGATCTAACGTTTTGATATCATTTTTTCATCGGTCGTTTCGCCTACGAATCGTTTCACTACCGTAATAATCATAATAATAATAATAATAATGATAATAATAATAGTAATAGTAATAATAATAATAATGAACGTTATTAAAGTCTCATGTCTTGTAGCTAAAGCACAGTGCCTTACTAATTGGGGACACTGTTCGCTAACGTCTTACGTCGCTCTGCTTGCGCCGCACATGTACATACCTCGTTCTCTCAGCCACGATAAGAAGAAGTGCGACACGCATGTATTTACCTCGTGCATTCAGCCATGGATCAGACGAAAGCAGTTTGAGAACTGACCCAACACATACGCGAAACGACTTTTAAGTCGTTAGCGAACAGGGCGTTGGCAACGTAAACGACCGTACAGTTATCACAATCTCTGCAAATTACTTTTCTTGGAGCCTGCAACGGGCTAACCAACCAGGAGTTAAGCAAAAAGTCTTTTCTTTAGAAAAAAAAAAATTAAATGTTGAATTAATTACTATTAGAGTTTTGTATGACCCTTATACTCTGAAGAGTTATGCCTTTTGGACCATTGTCAATGTGATGTCTTCTCTTCGAGCATTTAATAAGAAACGAACCACAAAATTCTCTCAGGCCACGCCGGTAGTTTTCGACAAAGACGAAACAGATTATTGGATTCGCCGTGCTTGAAAGGTTGGTCATCAGGAGAGGTAATGGCCTTAGTACTCGGAGTAACAAACATGATCTTTCCAGTACTCTTTCTGACAACACGACAATAATAATGACAGGGATAAAACATAAATAGAAGGCTGCCACGACGCAAATGGACATTTTCACGGCTTGCCGTTTTCTCTGAACGTTTCCATTCACAGGTGCAATGGGAAGCGCTTTGTTTTTCCTTCGTAGAGTTACCGCTATAGTACAGTATAAAATTGTTACGGATATCAACGAAGCAAAGGAACAGGCGGCTCCAGCATATTGAGAAACGGTAGTTGTTTTCTCTGTGCAGTCAAGTGCACCATTTTTGTGAACGAGTTTAAAATCAATAGAAGAAACAGAGCCGCACAAAAGAGCAACGATCCACGTGGAAGCAATGGCCAAAACGCGAAATCTGGAGGAAATCAGATGGACTTTCATTGGAAAGACTACTGCTATAAACCGGTCTAATGCAATCCAAGTTAGGCTTTGTACAGAAACATAGACAGAGGCATACATAACAAAATTCTGGATCTTGCAGACGATTGATCCGGCCGGTTCAGCGATCGGCCATTGACCATACGCTGCTGTTGCCAACTCAACTGGAATGAATGTTAACTGAAAGACAAAGTCAGATAATGCCATGTTGGCGATAAGCTGATTTATAGCCTTTCTTAAGTCTTTCCGCGTGTACACCAAGGTGATTATAAGGGCGTTTCCAGTCAAGCCAACCAACAAGACCATACAGTAGACAACTATCAAACTTATTTTGAACACATATGGCTGATATATAGCTCCACAATCCAGATCCTTTTCGCTTGATGAGACGTTACTCAAGTTGCTGGTCGACATAATATAAGAAAAAAAGAAACACCGATTTAACGCACGTCTCAAGCAGAAAGGAGAGTTAACTGACCCAAGAAGCTGCCGCAAACTAAATTGACAGTGGAAGCAATTAAAACATCGAGACTAATGATTTCAAATGAATCCAAGCAACCGACTAAATACTTGAATTACTTGTCAAGACGGTAATGGACTTTCTTAACTTTTCGTTTTTGATTTCCAACGTTAATCGATTTTTATTAATCTCGAATTGTGTTGTCTTACTAGGCTCAGAGTCAAAGGGATCTGGAAAACAAATAATTATTCCACCCGTTTTAACAGAGCTTTTAATAGATATCTGTTCAAAGTTTTTCAGATAATCCAACTATTAAACATGGGAACCATAAACAGGAAAAAATATATATTGCGTTTGACACCATGTTAAAAATATATATAATTTAGAAATAAATCAGGCAATGGAATTAAATATATAAACTTTAGTATTTCATTTTCTTTGCCTTTCAACATTAAAATATTTATGATTTAGAATTAGAAAAAGGAGTTTAATATTAAATTTTTATATCTAATTTTCTGTGCTTTCCAATCGACTCACATTTTGTGCCTTATGAAAACTTGATGTTGACCAGCAATGAGGTGTAAACATATTTGAAAAAAACTGGATCTTTAAATAATAATAAAAAAGACTTTCATCTTTAATTTTTATATTTAATTTTCACAGTGTTCAATAAACTTGCAGTCTGAAATGTAGGCTCGATTAGGATCAAAGACTGGACCCGGGAGACGGCGGAAAACGAGCCTGTCTGAAATGCGGTTCGTGTTTCAAACATTCATAAATTCAAAGACCTGACAAATACTCCTGCTTGTGATTAAAAATTAATAAGTACATCATGTGTAGCCTGTTGTATGCGGTACTGTCACTCTGGATCGTATACTTCACCGCGTGGAAAAAAAACAAAAACAAACTGTAAATTGAAAAATTAATGGCACGGAAATCATTAAAACCAGTTCGCAAAACAAAGGCGAGAAAGTCTAGCTAGCCTATTACAGAAACTAAACTAAATTTTATCTATTTTGTCACCGTCATTTTTGCAAACGAGTGCACTTTTACTTATTAACAATAATTTCATTTCAATAGGGTCGCTGGGCAGGCAGGGCGTGACGTTTTACGGGAAAAAGATCGTTGCATACAAGTGTGAGCATCTGACTTTAATTAAACACCAGACGCCGGATTTAAGAGTTGCAACGATAAGAAGCATCTTATTTATTGTTCCTTTACAATCGCCTGTTGTTTTCAACCCTTTTAGTCTCAGAGTGATTGATGGAATCTTTGTAAGGTGCCTCTAACTTTGAGTCTGTGGACGAAATGCTACAGTTAGCTATTCATTAAAGTGTTTGCCGTTAATTTCATGTCTAGGTACAATTTGTTTTTCAGCATCTTTGATGTTTTACTAGCCTGCGTAGCAGGCGCTTGGAAGTAGTGGGCACAAGAGAAAACGGGCGCGCGAGAACCCGTTCTCTCTTTCGCCCGCTACTTTCAAGCGCCTGCTACGCAGGCTATCCCTTGCGTGTCTCCCTCGCGCGCGCCCGTTCTCTCTTTCGCCCGCTACTTCCAAGCGCCTGCTACGCAGGCTAATATTTTACTCGGATTTTGACTTTTCGCACTCCTGAGAGTGAAAGAAACAATAGTTGAGATCTATGGTGCCGAATTTACGAAACATCCCTAACTTAAAAGTTAGGAATGCTTCGTAAATTCCGGACCATAGCAAAAATAATCTTAAAAAGGTTTAGTCAGATAACTGCCATCAAGTACAATACAGTAGTATATTTATAGGAACGATACTTTATTAATAGTTTATCAATAGACGTATCAAGTGGCCTAAGCCAGGCTCTCAGATCGTAGTGACGTCGCTAAGGCAAGGTCAAGGGAAAATAGGGCGCCAGTGATTTGGCTTTTTTCATGTCAGTTTTGCTGACCGGTCGTTTCGCCAAAGTCTTACGTCGCTTCACTTAAGAGGCGAAACTAGCGCTGCGCATGTATATATATAGCTCGTTCTCTTAGGAATGATAAGAAAAAGTGCGATACGCATGTATATGCTTCGTTCTTTCGCCTACTGATCTAGCGAAAGCAGTTAGGAAACTCACCTAATACGAAAGAGAAACGGCACTTAAGTCATTAGTGAACAGTGCGTTGGCAACGTACACGACCTTACAGTTTTCACGATCTCAGCACAATACTTTCTTGGAGACTTTATGGAAAAGCTAATCAACACTGAGGAGCTTCGGAAGAGGCTTTTTATTGCGAAGATAAAACTAGGTATACCTATCGATAGAGTGCCAACGAGCAAATAATGTGTATTTTGCTCGGGAATAAAATTCCTTTTTTTTCCCATTTGACCGTTTCTTGGCCCCTTCCTGTTGCAAGGATTATTTTCTTGAAAAGTTCTCATATTCAGGGCCTCTTCATATGAGCCCGGTTGACCGGGCTGGCTCGGTTACCGGGATGAATTTTGCCTTGGGTTCATATGAGAAATTTTAGCGCGGTTTCCGAGATGAGAAAAGGTCAAAGATCCTGGGTACGAGTTCTGGCGCCAAATTTGGGAAACAAAGCAAACATAGCGAAACACAAAAATTTTAACTTTCGGGCCTATCTTAGCATCGGTAACTCTTAAAGCTGTATCACTGCAGTTAAATGGGATGCTTATGATGTGGAAAACACAGCAGGCAATGCAAGACGAGGCCATCCGGACCGCCAGAATTCATCCGCCATTCATCCCGGTAACCGGGATGAAGTGTTCATATGGCAAAATTTCAGTCTGGTGGCTTTACAAACCTGCCATGTAAAAGTGTGAAATGTCTTGAAAGAATAAAATCAGCTTTGCAGAGGAAGCGATCGGGAATATTATTAAGTCCAGCTACAAATCTACTGTCGGTTCGGTTTCACATCGTAGATAAATATTTGCACAGTTTAATCATTTAAACCTCCTTTCACATTTCCCGAGGCTTTTTGTTATCCGATTGAAACTTAGAATGATTTGCTTGGCCATCTGAAATGTTTCCTAGGACACGCAATGTACGGCACGTCGGTATTTTAGTTCATTGTTTTTATACTGAACTCGGCCAGGTTTCGAAAAAAATGGCGTTGTTTTCTTTTCCTTTGTCGTTCGCTTTAGGCTTGTAATGAGTTTTTGCTCTCATTTTTTTGTTTGCTGGTTAGATTTTTTCCCCAACACCAGCTTTTCCAACAGAAGCGAAAGTATTCTTCGTGTCAAGCTTTCCTTATCTCCTCGTGTAATCTGATCCTTTTTAGTGGTGAGAATATTATATTGCTTGTTGCACATAGAACACTTTTGCTGTTTTACAAACCTCTCTTCATTAAAACTTAACATTATGGCCCCTAAAATTAATACAATATATCAAGTGCTCACGTTCCTTGACTGCAGTGGCCGGGTTTGACGAAAAAATTTAGATAAATAAACACAGGAAGTCACCACGGCGGGAATTGTGTGAAATTTTGTGTTTTATTCAACTTGAGCCGTTGCGCCAGGTACTGCCTTTTGACTGGATCACAACTGACCACTTGGTCTCAGGGGAATCTTCACTTTTTTCAGTTCAATCGAGAATTTTTCCGCCTATTGCCCAGTCTTGCGCGGCTCTATTCTGCTGCTGCCTCGCCATCCGAGCGTCTTGGCTCGGATGCCTTGTTGGCAATAAATGTGAAATTAATTACTATAAGAGTTTTGTAGGACCCTTAAACTCTGAAGAGTTATTCCTTTTGGACCATTGTCAATGGTTTGTCTTCTCTTCGAGCATTTCATCAGAAACGAACCAAAAAATTTTCTCAGGCCACGCCGGTAGTTTTCGACAAAGATGAAACAGATTATTGGATTTGCTGAGCTTGAAAGGTTGATCGTCAGGCCAGTAAATGGCCATAGTACTCTGAGTAACAAACATGATCTTTCCAGTACTCTTTCTGACAAGACAATAATAATGAGAGGGATAAAACATAAATAAAAGGCTGCCACGACGCAAATGGACATTTTCATGGCTTGCCGTTTTCTCTGAACGTTTCCATTCACAGCTGAAGTGGGAAGCGCTTTATTTTTCCTTCGCAGAGTTACCGCTATAATACAGTATAAAATTGTTATGGATATCAACGAAGCAAAGGAACAGGCGGCTCCAGCATATTGAGAAGTTGTTTCCTCTGTGCAGTCAAGCGCACCATTTTTGTGCACGACTTTAGAATCAATAGAAGAAGCAGAGCCGCACAAAAGGGCAACGATCCATGTGGAAGCAATGGCCAAAACGCGAAATCTGGAGGAAATCAGATGGACTTTCATTGGAAAGACTACCGCTATAAACCGGTCTAATGCAATCCAAGTTAGGCTTTGTAGAGAAACATAGACAGAAGCATAAATAACAAAACTCTGGATCTTGCAGACGATTGATCCGGCCGGTTCAGCGATCGGCCATTGACCATACGCTGCTTTTGCTGACTCAAGTGGAATGAATGTTAACTGAAAGACAAAGTCAGAAAATGCCATGTTGGCGATAAGCTGATTTACAGTCTTTCGTAAGTCTTTCCGCTTGTACACCAAGGTTATTATAAGGGCGTTTCCAGTCAAGCCAACCAACAAGACCATAAAGTAGACAACTATCAAACTTACTTTCAACACATATGGCTCATACAATGGTCCACAATCCAGATCCTTTTCGCTTGATGAAACGTTGCTCAAGTTGCTGGTCGACATAATATAAGAAAAAAAGAAACACCGATTTAACGAACGTCTCAAGCAGAAAGGAGAGTGAACTGACCCAAGAAGCGGCCGCAAACTAAATTGACAGCGGAAGCAATTAAAACATCGAGACTGATGATTTCAAATGAATCCAAGCAACCGACTAAATACTTGAATTACTTGTCGTGACGGTAATGGATTTTCTTAACTTTTCGTTTTTGATTTCCAACGTTAATCGATTTTTATTAATCTCGAATTGTGTTGTCTCACTAGGCTCAGAGTCAAAGGGATCTGAAAAACAAATAACTATTCCACCTGTTTTAACAGAAGTTTCAGTAGAGATCTTTTCAAGATTTTTGAGATGATCGAACTATTAAATATGGGAACCATCAATAATAAAAACTATATTTGCGTAAGACAGCATGTTAAAAATATATGTAATTTAGAAATAGACCATGCAGGCAATGGAATTAAATATAAAACTTGAGTATTTCATTTTCTTTGCCTTTCAACATTAAAATATTTATAATTTAGAATTAGACAAAGGAGTTTAATATTAATTTTTATATCTAATTTTCTGTGCTTTCCAATCGACTCACATTTTGTGCCTCTTATAAAAATTTGATGTTTACCAGCAATGACGTGTAAACATATTTGAAAAGAACTCTTTAAATAATAATAAAAAGAATTTCATGTTTAATTTTAATATTTCATTTTTATAGTGTTCTATAAACTCGCAGTCGGAAATGTAGGCTCGATTAGGATCAAAGGCCGGACCCGGGTGACGACGGAAATTGAACCTGTCTGAAAAGCGGTTCGTGTTTCAAACATTCATAAATTCAAAGACCTGACAAATACTCCTGCTTGTGATTAAAAATTAAGTACATCATGTGTAGCCTGTTGTATGCTGTACTGTCACTCTGGATCGTATACTTCACCCCGCGGAAAAAAAACAAAAACAAACTGTAATTGAAAAATTAATGGCACGGAAATCATTAAAACCAGTTCGCAAAACAATAGCCTGAGTATCAGGCGTTTCTGGGGAAAAGGGGAAAAATGGAAGCGAAAAAGGAAGAGAGGTGAAGGAAAGAAACCTCTTCTCCCCCTTCCCCCTCCCCCATCTAAAATCTCCTCTCCCCTAGCCCCGTAGGAAGGCTGACTCTCAGGCTAGCAAAACAAAGGCGAGAAAGTCTAGCTAGCCTATTACAGAAACTAAACTAAACTAAATTTTATCTATTTTGTCATCGTCATTTTTGCAACCGAGTGCACTTTTACTTATTAACAATGATTTCAGTCAGAAAATGCCATGTTGGCGATAAGCTGATTTATAGTCTTTCTTAATTCTTTCCGCTTGCACACCAAGGTGATTATAAGGGTGTTTCCAGTCAAGCAACCAACAAGACCGGCCATACAGTAGACAACTATCAAACTTATTTTGAACACATATGGCTCATATAATGCTCCACAATCCAAATCCTTTTCGCTTGATGAGAAGTTGCTCAAGTTGCTGGTCGACATAATATACGAAAACAAGAACCACCGATGCACTGCACGTCTCTAGCAGAAAGGAGAGTAAACTGAGCGAAGAAGATGTCGCAAACTAAATCTACAGCGGGAGCATTTGGAACATAGAGACTGATTTCAGGTGAATCCAAGCAATCGACTAAATTAATACTGAAGCGAGATGGGAACTGAAGCCGAAGTGCAGAATAGGCAAATGATGTAGACTGACTTTCGCAGAGACTTTTGTAGCCACTAGACTTGATGAAATTTATATTTACATTTTACACCAATTGTTTTTACTTCTATTTGATAATCATCGGCAATGTCTCGTCGTCTAAGAACTGCAGTGAGTTGTAATGCAACTGGCTCCTCCCCGCCAATAGTTTATGCGCACACTAACTGCGCACGTAGCCAGGTCGCGTCACCGAGATCAAACGTCTGGGGCATTTTCTTGAGTGCGTCCTTAGTGCGGTTCCATTTGCCAACTGAGGTAGACAGGCGAACAATGCTGGACGCCCGATCAACATGGCGAAAAAGAAAAAGTGAATACTGACATTTTTGGCCAATTTCTTTCAGTTTGCCACACTGAGATCTAGACCACTTGAATGGCGATTTCGCATCCACAACAACAGATAATCGACAAAACTTTATGCTTCGAACTGGTGAGATATTTTTTCTTTGTAGTATAAATCTAAAAACATTCATGAATAATTCACAATCAAATATATTACGATAGAGATTGATGTTGAATAAGTGGATATACATATTTATTATAAACACGCCCGAGTTTTAGTTCTGTCGGCAAATTAATTGATCATCACGCCTTTATTTAAATTTTCAAATTATTATTATAAAAAAATAACTTTATCTAGAAGAACGTTAAGCTAATCTCTTACATCAACTCTCTTTTTGGGCTTCGTACGCAGAGTTAGTTCGCCTGTCCTGATTTACTGTCACATTTGCTCTATAATTCGTTTTACATACAATAACAAACAAAACCATATAAAAGGACAAATAAATCATACACCAAACTCACGACATGCGGGGGAAAAAAACGGAAAAGAACCTTTTATTTGCCCAAGGTTAGTGCTAAAGGCAATCTAATAAAAAACTTCAATACTGTAGATATTAAAGACATTTAAAAAAGACAGGCCAAAAATGTTACATTCTGTCTCTCGTGACGAGATGTTGGTGGATTTGGAATCGAAAGTTGGAATGTCCCGATGAATTCGTTGCAGAAAACATGCTTTTGCCTGCTAATTTTGCAGCAAAAAAGTACGTTTTCGGTTAGTTCACAGAAAAAATTACGTAGAATAGAAACCTTTGTTCAAGTGACACACCAGCGCTGACTCCACACTTTCTCCGTATTATGTCAAGAGTTAACGCCGCGATAAAAGCCTGTCATTTTCCGAAACTATTGTGTAATAGATAATTAAACACGGGACTACATGCTAACACAATAATAAATATCACTACAGGTGAACAAAGTAGAATTTTTCCAATCGGAGACAAGATTGACTTACAAAGGATCTGGAAGGACAATGCCTCATTATTAAGTCAAGATCTGAATCATTTGATTAAACATCACAGGGAAAACACAGAAGAATTAAAACAAGGCTATCGTTTGCATCTGCCAACAATAAGAACAGAAGTAACCAGGAAAATTTTTTATTCTCATGAAAGTACAGTTTTTAATAATTTTTGTTATAGTACATAACGGAGAGTTTGTACATTATTTATTTATTAAACTTTAGTATTTCATTTCCTATGCCTTTTAACATTAAAATATTTAGAATTTAGAAATAGACAAAGGTGTTTAATATCAAATTTTTATATTTAGTTGACATATTTGAAAAGAACTTAAGTTTTTTACGCTGTTCAATAAACTTGCAGTCTGAAATGCGGTTCGTGTTTCAAACATTCATCAATTCAAAAACCTGACAAACACTCCTGCTCGTGATTGATGACTAACGTAGCTCGCGTGTAGCATGCTGTATGCTGTACTGTCATACTGGATCATATAGTGCACCCCGTGGAAAAACAAACTATGAATTGAAAAATTAATGGCATACGGAAATCACTACAACGAAGAAAACGTGAATGACAAATGCGAGATCAATCATAAACCAAGGCCTTGTAGCTATTACACAAACTTTGCTCACCGTGTTACTCTTTCTTTAAAGTCCGTGACACGTTTTAAGACTATCGACATTTCTTTCGCAGCTTGCTCTAACAAAAAAAAGGTGTTTACGGACGTTGGCTGAACAGAGCCACTAATGCAACTAGCGCACAAGTAATTTTCTACTTTCTTGAATATATATGTGCAGTGGAAGCTCTAGTAAGCGGATACCCTCGGGACGCAAAAAAAGTTTCCGTAATTGGAGCTGGCCGCTCACGAGAATGTAAAAATACAGAGTTTGTATGGGAGTTAAAAAGAAAAAAACAAAAACAAAAAAGACAATGTATTGTGAAGGCTTAATCTAGAGGAACGTTAAGCTGATCTTTTCCATCAGTTTTCTCTTTAGGCTTCATACACAGAGTTAGTTCACTTATCCTGATTTGCTGTCACATTTACTCTATATTTCGTTTTACATACAATAACAAACAAAACCATATAAAAGGACAAATAAATCGTACACCAAAATCACGACATGCAGAGGAAAAAAAAACGGAAAAGAACTTTTATGATAAGCCAGTTTGCCCAAGGTTAGTGCTAAAGGTAATCTAATAAAAACTTCCATACTGTGGATATTTAAGACATTTAATATATTAAAGACATTTGAGTCAGAAGTCTTGCAGAGACGACTGTGATTCCCACAAAGGAAATTGAAAACAATGCGCTCGCAAAATGTTGGAGGAAAAGCACCTATAATGGAAAATGCAAAAATGGCGAATAGTGTTCAGTTTTAAAATAGATGAGTGTGTTTCTAGACTTACTTCTCTCTATGCGGTTCCGTTTACATGCACATTGTATTTTACATAGGTTATATTTACTATACATAGCTTCCAGATAGATGAACACTAAGGCTAAACTTCTGTTGATTAAACTAAGGCTAAACGTCATTATTGTTCATTATTTTTGTAATTTTTTCTATCACTTAAGTTTCTCTCCTATCGAATGCACGAATAATTCAAAACCGTTCAAGTCTTATCTCCTGTTGGTTGCTCTTTCTTCTCTCTTCCACTTTCAGATTTTTGCTGTAATAGCATGGGAGGATGTCGGTTAGGCCTCGACGAAAGCTTTGAACAAATGCAATGCAAATGATCGGATTGACAGTTGAAGACGCGTAAAGCGCCAACTGAACAAGTAACCAGATGTTTTGGCGCACAGAACAAGATTTGAAAACTTTAGGATCAGGTAATAAGTTGGCAACTATTGTCAAAGGAAGAATGAGAAAGTAAAAAGACAGCATCACACAAAAGCTCATTTTTATAGCTTGGCGTTTTCTTTGATTGCTTTGATGTCCGCACTGAAGAGCTCTGTCTTGCTTTCGCAAAGTTATTGCTATAGCAGAATAAGAAATCGCTATGATAATCAGAGGTACTGTGAAAAGAAAAGTAGTTCGTCCTCTTCCAAAGTCTACATAAAAAGTGGAAGTATTTTTATAGGCGCAAACAGGCATATAAAATTCAACAGAGTTTAGAAACACCGCGATGAACCAAGTGAAAGTTATGGCAACGGTGCGAACTCTTGCTGTAATGAGATGGGCTTTCAACGGAAACACAACCGCCACAAACCGATCTATAGAAATGCAGACAAGGCTTTCTATAGAAACAGTTAACGAAACACCCTGAAAAAAAGAAACGAGGTGGCAAGAGATCAGCTCTGTAGTGCTTGCTATAACCAATCGTGACGACCGGACTAACGAAGTGGATGATAAAGTCGCTGTGATACCTGTTAGTGGATAGAATAGGTCGGAAACCGCCATATTGACAATGAAGAAATTTGTGGTCTTCCGCAATTCTTTTCGCTTATAAATCATGAGGATAATGAAGGCGTTTCCAATCAAGCCGGACAATGATAAAATGGAGACGACCAGAATTTTGATGACTTCTGCTGGAAAAGACAGCTCAAAAATGTTACATTCTGTCTCTTGTGACGAGATGTTGGAAGGTCCCGATGAATTCGTTGCAGAAAGCATGCCCTTGCCTGCTAATTTTGCTCTTAAAAAGTACGTTTGTGGTGGAATAGAAAGCTTTGTTCAAGTGACACACCAGCCCTGACTCCACACTTTCTCCGTATTATGTCAAGAGTTAACGCCGCGATAAAAGCCTGTCATTTTCCTAAACTATTGTGTAATAGATAATTAAACGCGGGACTACATGCTAACTCTATCACTACAGGTGAACAAAGTAGAGTTATTTAAAGTGGACACAAGATTGACTTACAAAGGATCTGGAAAGACAATGCCTCATTATTAAGTTAAGATCTGAATTTGATTAAACATCATAGGGAAAACACGGAAGAATTAAAATTTAGCTATCTTTTGCATGCGCCAACAATAAGAACAGAAACAAGGAGGGAAGTAGCCAGGATAATTTTTCATTATCATGAAAGTACAGTTTTAAAAAATTTTTGTAAAAGTACATAACGGAGAGATTGTTTATTACCTTGGAAGTTCGGTTATTAATAATTATTGTAAATGTACATTTTGTTATCTATTGTTTTTCATTACTGCATATGTCATTACTTATTTAGTAACCTCAAGGCTCCTATTAATGACAGGGATATTTTATAAGCTCCCTGAGGGGACTACCCCGAGTAATTATGTGTACACTTTTATTTTAAATATATAGAGAGCTCTAGTTTTGAGGACGAAAACGAGTACGAGTACGACATGTAACTTACGTTTTTGCGCGTGTTCCAAAAAAGAGACAACCCCGGAAAACTTCATTTTACTCACTTTTTTTTGCCAAAAAAGTCAGTACTTTTATTTATACTGAAGGAGGTTAAGCCCTCTCCCGATAGCAAAATGATCAAACTTCCTGCATTTGATAACTCGTTTACACCACTACGACATTCGCGCTAAAACACGTAGTAGAATGATGACGGCTATTTCTACATCACTTTTAACTACGATTTACAGACAAAAATCTCTTTAGGTCTGAATGAGTTTATAAGATCTTTCAAGAATTAAAACCAACTGTCAGAAAAGATTCTCGTTCCCTTCGTTTTCCCGCCTAAATCAGCGCAATTTTCTTGATTAAATACTGGAAGAAATGGCCCTAAATACCTGAGAAAATGATTATTTGAAAATGAATTGCATGACAGCTACCAGAAAAAAAACTTAATTGGTCTTAACTGTACTGAAAAGGATTGACTCTCTTTCGTTTTGTCTTCCCCTTACTGCAATGTGCACTTGTTTTGCAAGATTTTCTCTTCCGTCTCGGCATCTTACTCGAATGCTTTGAAGGGATACTTCCCCTCGATCACCTGTTCCTATTTTCCAACTTCTTGCTGACTTTTTAATATGACAGATATTGAACAACTCTCTTAAACCGAGGCGGTAGTTTTCGACAAATATGAAACAAATGATTGGATTTGTTATCGAAGAAAAGCTGGTCGTAACTGAAGCAAATATCATTATCGAAGAATACAACAAACAGGATATTTCAACCAGTGTTTTATGAAAAAAGACGACTATCAAGTTCGGGATAAAAAGCAAATAAAACGCAGCCATGACACAGACGCTCATTTTCAAAGCCTGCCGTTTCTTTTGGATGCTCTTAATCACTGTTGCCGAGATAGCCAGTGCTTTATTTTGCCTACGAAGAGTTACTGCTATAGCGGTGTACAAAATTGTCATTAGCAAAAGCGGTGCAATATTAAGTACGACTAATTGAACATATCCGTACGTTGGGTAGAAAGGTCTTTCCATGCATATTATTTTACCATTTGCCTCAATCGCTTCAACCGTGTACAAACGAACAGAGCAAATTAATACAGCAACAATCCAAGTGGACGTCACAGCAAAGCGGCGAAACCTTGTGGAGATGCGATGAACTTTGATTGGAAAGACCACTGCAATGAACCGATCCACGGCGATCCAAACATGACTCTCTGCCGAAACAGTGAATGAAACACCAGCGAAGAAAATCTGCAGTTTACAAACAATTGATCCTGCAGAAACACTGACAGGCAATGTTTCTAGTCGGACGATGCTAAGAGGAATTGCTGTTAACGGAAAGATGAGATCGGAAATCGCCATATTGGCAATAAAGTAATTTGTGGTCTTCTTTAAATCTTTTCGCCGGTAGAATATGATGATAATAACAGTGTTTCCGATCAAGCTGGATAACAGAATAGCACAGAAGAAAACGATCACACTGATATCTAAAGCACGATTATCTCGTATTTGACATGGCATATTATTCTGGTTTGATGAGGCGCTGCTAATGTTCAAAGTCGTCGACATTTTACCAAAAAGCAGTTCATCCACTTATAGTGACTGTCAATGCACAAACTAGATCGAAACGTTACAATCAAAATCATTTAATACAGTCAAACCCTTTTAATATATACGGACACTGAGGGGGCCATAGGGGGCCGTATTAACGGGGTATCCGTATTAAGCGGGTTGAATTTAGAGAAAATGACAGGGCTTTCTTTCCCCGGGGACAAAGCAAACTCTCCGTAATAACGGGGTGTCCGTATGAAGCGGGTGTGTGTAAAGCGGGGTTTGAGGGTAATAACATTATCATTTGATCCAGAATGAATCTTACATATAAATTTAGCCGAAGCTACGGTTAATAAAAAACATCGTAATAAAGAAATTCTAGTCATAATGAGAATCTCACTTGTAATCAAAACTATCCAGGCAGATTAGTGAAATCCTAAATAGCATGCACGAAGGAGACGGTGTTTTAATAAAGACTCTTGGAAAAAAGCATTTTTCATTGTCAAAATGACTGGTCCGGCCATGGTCAAGCCGGTCAGTAACTGACTTTTGATAGGCGCCATTAAGACAAAGAGGGACAGTTGGTTTTAAAATAACAACAACAACAACAACAAAAACAAAGTTGGTGAGGATTGCGAGATCGTAATTTCGTACACTTGGTTAAGACAAGTCGACATATATATTGGCCTAATAATAGTGAACTTTGTAAAAAAGCTCGAGTTGCAAGGATCAGCAGCGCCTCTTACAATTTTATTAACGGTTTAATTAACATCCTGAAAGATTGCTTTAACGAGAGATGTCTTGGCTTTTGACCATGAGGCGTTTGACTACAGTCAACAACAAATGGCGGGATTAAATAACTGTTGGTGAAAGAAAAAATTAATTGGTTTTTTATATCTAGAAAATTTAATTTTGAAATTTTCATCTTTTTAGTTGCATCAATGGAATAATATTCAGCACTTACAAAAATTAATGAAAATTTTACTGGTGTTTACATACGGCTAGAAATTAAATAGAGTTAAAAGTGCACCTACACACGGTGTTATCACATGTCTTATACGTTTATTTTTAATAAGTGCTGGACTTTTAAAGTGGCTGCTTTTCGCTGTGAACATCTGTTTTATTGTTTGGAAATACAGAAATTGCGAATTACGCTAAACCCTTCCTTTAACAACCGGGAACGCTTGGTTCGATAACCTTGGATATTTTTTCAAAACCTGGTGGACCGCACAGAAGAAAGGTGACCGCGAATGGATGACAGACCGCTTACTGGAACAATTTTTGGTAGAGATTTCAAATGAAAGTTGTCTTTAGACAGACTACGGCCGACTTACGAGTATCCATTCAGAAAGCGCACATACACACATCATGAGTTTAAAGCTTTGGCACCTCCGAGCGACCACCACCACCACTACCATAGCACGTTTCTTCGAATTCATTTGCAGACGTGACGGGTCCAAGACACATCGTTCTTTTTCCCGCTGGATTTAATGAAATGAAAACTATTACAGAAAAACCCCGATAATATGGCCACTAGTAGGCTATAGGGATCATATAGTTCACCCCGTGGAAAAAACAAACTGTGAACTGAAAAATTAATGGCATACGGAAATCACTACA